TAATGTTTGCCTGAGCCAGGATCTGAAGTGATCTAAGTCGGCTTTATAAAATATTGCCCAGCCTAAAAGCCTTGAAAGAAACTCTGCTCTAAAAGCCCTTGGTTCTCCTGCTGAGACTCAGAATCAAGAATAAGACTTTGTACTCTGTGTGTTTGTGGGTCTGTGTCTGAGGGTGTATGTGTGTGTGTGTGACAGAGAGAGAGAGACAGAGACGAGTGGAGATTACCAGTGCTTATCAGAGACATGATAGGCATATCATATTTAAGGAAATCTTTAATATCCTGCTTGGCTTCTCCAAATTGGTGCTGCCCCATTTGTGATTTTCTTTCTTTTTCTCTTCCCCCCCCCCTTTGGGTGCCTTGACGGTAATTATGCAGCTCTCATGGAAATACCATATTTTGTATGCCAAAAAAAGCTATCTTAAAAACTCAAGAAGGGATGACTTTTATGTTTTTACAAAAAGAGTCCGTTAAATTCACAATTCAACCGATAAAGCCCAATTTCAAACTGTCTATAGAAACACTGGTTTTTCATTCTTGCCTTTGATCTTCTGTCCTTTCAGTATACGTAGGCTAGCTGGGCCTAGTTAAGTAGTAGGAACTATTGTGTTTATTTAAAAAAAAACACTATTTTTTTTCTGAATTTGTTTTTGGAGAGCCCATAGTTACAAAGGGCCCTATTTTAAATTCTTGTTAGCCTCTTAGGTAATGATCACTGACAACCACTACCTTGTGTTAAAGAAGTAAATTATCTCAGATAATATATTCTTGTTTTCTTTGTCACAGACTAGGCTGTGCAGGATCTCATAGCTGATTTTTCTGGAGATGTTTCGTGGGAAAGCCAGACTCCTGAATTTTATAGACTTTCCTGGGCATTTTTAAAGGAAAACAAAAACAGATTATGTATCCTTAGTTCATGGCTTAGTATTTTTCTGTACTCATCATCATTTCTTTCCCAGTGGTTTTATCAAGTATCAATGGGGTAGGGAAATGTTGGTGAGCTGCAACCACAGGGTATTGTCTGCCAAGAATTAAAATAACTTTCAATAGCTACCCTCCAGGTGCTGTTTCCTGAGCTGATAAAAGTTGTAGTCCAGGATGTCTGGAGCAGGACCACCGCCGACCTGTAAGGTGCCTTTGTGCAAAACATTTTTTACCACCAAAGCATCAAGTCACGTCATGTGGCAGCTATGGTTTCCCAGCGCTTCAATCTCCGTTTTCTTCTACAGCACACTCGCACATGCACAGAACAGTAACTGAAAGGACTTCATCCTTCAACCCAATTGCCTGCAATGTGGCACTGGGATACTATTGCTCCCATAATTCCCTCTCCCCCCCCCCAGTGTCATGGTGCCTTTGTGCAATGGACATCTCGCACACCTTTGTGTGGTCGTGGTCTAAAGTGCTCCAAGTTGGGTCAGAGTGGTTTAAAACTACAGATACAGCTAGGATCAACATTATGCCTACTCCTTACTAGTATACAGAGGAATCCAGCAATATTGACATATCCCTGTAGAAAGCAGAATCACTTTGAAGATTGCTGCTTTGAATTGTGCTAGTCAAGTATGGGTTCCTCTTCAGCATCTGTCTTGACATAGCTTATCCAAAAAAATAGGTGGGGGGGGCAATACTAGCAGTCATGCATTCTTCTTATATTTGCTGCATCTGCATGGAATGGCCACCTTCTACCTTCACATTGATTTGTGGCATTAGGGAGCCAGTTTGTATGTGAACAATGCAAGTGGTTTGTAAAACGGAGCTGATTGTCCAGCTTACTGTACAGTGCTGTATCTACTGAATAAAGGAGGTGTTCTCTTCTTTAAGGGCTCTGGCCATTTGTGTGGGGTTATCCATTGCACCCAATTTTAGATTAGAAATTGAAGGGAGTTATGTTAGCCACCTGCAAGGGGTACATTTTGGCCAGGATTTCAACTCACCATGACCACTTCAAATGCCATCTTAAATCACTTAAACCATGTAGTTGAAATACAACATTTATTTTCAATGCAGTGGACACAGTGAGTGTGAGTGCGTAGGTCAAATGATCCTCATTGTGAGGGTTTGGATATCCTGCTCCATATCCTGCTCCATGTGTGTCTAAGCATAAAGCCACTGTCTCTTAATATTGCTTGCAGAATGGGCCAAGCTGAATCCCAGATTGTATGTCTTTTGAGACATTAAGAAAGATGATGATTCTTCATTTAATTGTTTAGTGTTGAGATAACACTCCTCTACAAGTTAAGAGATCAAAAAGCACATAAATTTTATTAAGCCTTATGAAGGTAGAATGTTATTTCTGCAAATCAAGAGTGGTGTTGGTGCTTATTGACTACATAGGTTACCATGTACTATGAGGGGTCCTTGGTGCTCTCTGAGCGTGATTGTTTCTTGCAGATGTTTTATTATCTAAACTAGGTAACATCACTGCTAGCACTGATGATGTTATCTAGTTTGGATAATGAAACACCTGCAAGAAGACAGTCAAACTCAGAGAGCATCATTTCAATGTTAAACTACAAATATTCCCTTTATTGGTACTATATACTATCACAAAAATAATATTGTACAAAAAATGATAACATAGTCTGTACTGTAACTGCAAATATTACATTCAGAGCTGTGTGTTACCAGAATGCTGGGGCTATTCTTTACATGAGTAAATGTCCAGTGGTTTTTTTTAATATATATTGAATTTTAGTTTTGTATATAATCACAACATGAAAGGAAAAAATAGTGAAATATTTCCATGGTGAATGGATCAGTACAATTGCTGCACATCATGGGATACTTTATAATTGAATATTAGCCCTAATGTCTGCATCTAATCTGAATATTTAGAATAACTTTGAGAATGAGTCCAATAGGATTTGGCTGTAAAAATAAATGTAATTATTTGGAGAGGAGGGGGCTGCAGAGGTACTTAGACCTTTCATTTTTGTTTTGCCTTTTGTTTTTGAAATATCTGGACCAAATATCCCTTTCCAGGATGAAAATAAATAATCTTACAGTTTGGGAAAATGTTTTCTAAAATGATGGGCATTATGACTTCTTTCCTCCTACTCAGCCTCTGAAAGGCAGGGGGCTATGTCTAGTGACACAGTGAAATCACTGGGAAAGGGGTATCCAAAACATTGCTCTCTTGTGTTGCTTTTGGGATGCCTTGTGTTTGTTTTTGCACCTCTTTAGAAAAAATCATATAAACTACGGACAGCGTGAATGCCACAAAACTGGAAGTGGGATGCAATACAACAATGCGCTTATGAGACCTGCCCTGCAAGTTAAACCAAGGATCTTGAAGTTTATCAAACCAACGTAACTATTTTAGTTACTAGGTTGAAATGGAAGATGAGTCCATTTTCATATATATTAGGCATTCAAAAATGCACTTGGATTGCTCATTGTTAGCATTGTTATTTCTGAACCAAGACTTCATCTCATTTGTAAGGGGTGGGGGAACCTATAAATATTGAGCTCTCTGAGACTGAAACTCCTGTTACATTGTGCACTCCAGATCCAACAGACTTTTCAGAAGAGCCAGCACTTATCCAAAGTTCGCTATTTTGAAAGTCACTGAAGAAGTGTTTGTGATACAAATTTCACTGACATGTATCCACAGCTTGTAATGTTAAAAGATTGAAACTGTTGGGAGATTCCATAGTAAAAAAGCACCATAGGATTTCTTATAGAAGATGACAACCTTTTTGCTGCTTTTTCAGACATTTTTAGCAATGCAGCTGACTGAAAATGGCAACCTATGTTAGCTCTCTCCTGGTGTACAGTAGGAATCAGAATCATGTTTCTTTTATTTCTAAAAAGTCTGAATGCATGGAATTGGATCCTTTGGGAAGATTAGATCCATAATATCACCAAATTCTGCCTCTTAAAATGTGTTTCCCCCTAAGCATGGTTAACTATGTTTCACAAATCTAATTGATTACCAGGTGGAAGGAAGGGGAGGAAGGTACCATGTCTCTTCACTGCAATTTGTGATGATCTTTGTGCAGCCAGGGTGGTTTGCAGGTTGTGGTCAAAAAAGTCAAGATAGCAGCCATGACAATGTAATCAGGGCTTTGTCTGCTTTTTATGTGTACAATGTATACAACGCATATGGCTAACCTTCAGTCACTGTTAATAGCTGTCATCCTGTGATCATCCCTATTTGCAGCCCATGTATACCGTAGTATCGCTTCTTTCTCTGTATGTTAAAATATATGTGTTCATTTCATTAGCATTTGAAAACTGAAATTGGGCCCTTGGCTTAGTTAAGTAATGAACAGTATATAGCAGTTGGGCCTGAATCACAATATTTTCATTTCTCACCGATGATCTCAGCTGGGCATGCTGGGCGTAATTCCATTTTACTTTCACAGCTTCTTTGAACTCAAGGTCACACCATTTCCATATTTAAACTGGTGCTGGTATGAATATTTACTTCATGCCATAAAGTAAACATTCATAGCAGCGTATCTTTATCAAATAAGATTGAGTTCAGTGTAACTTATGCTTGAATGCTCTACTTTTTTAAACATTTTATTGAATTATAGAGCAAAATACAAAATACAAAGCAAATAGTAGACACAATGGGGAGGAGAAAAGGAAAAGAGGGAGAGAAAGAGGGAAAAAAGAAAAAAAAAGACATTGACTTCCTCTGTTGCAGTGGAATAAAGCATTAACATCGAGCAACAACTTTTTATTTTTTCACAATAATATAAACTGGCCATATTTAACAACAAATCAAATCAATCTAATTGGTGAAACCCAAAATCAAAGTTTCATTTTTTCCCACCTCAAGCACAAAATCCAGAAGCGGTCTCCATGTAGAAACAAAAGTACTTGTATTCTTTTCTTTACTAAAAACAATCAATTTAGCCATCTCTGCCAGCTCCATCAACTTCTGTAGCCATTTGTCCATAGTGGGAATCAAAATGTCCTTTCATTTTTGTGCATACAGTAATCTCGCTGCCATCAACATATACAGGATCAAAGTTCCAATTTTTTTTCCCAAGTCTTTTTTCATTAGACCCAAAAGAAAAAATTCTGGTTTCATATTTATTTTTACTTTAAGGATTTCCTGTATCAAAATGTGAATCCTTCTCCGGTATTTCTTTGCTTCATCAAAGTCCCTTCTTTACCTTTATATTTCCAGCATTCATTTGAAATACCTTTATACATTCTAGACCAGGGGTTGCCAACCTTTGTGGGTTGGCTGCCCAGTGGGAAAAGGAGGGGCAGGCACATTTATGAGCGTATGCGCACATGCAAATGTGGCTACATGATGTGCCCAAGAACAGGGCCTTGAGCATGCATGCTCCGCAAATGGGGCTGCTAGCACCTGCATGTGGCTCGGCTAGCACCGGCGAGAGACTCAGCAATGGTGAGACACACTCAGCTAGCGCCGGTGCGAAGCTCAGTCAGCTAGCACTGGTGCAAGGGAGAGTGAGTGCGCACACATGTGCTTATACACTGGCCAGTCACGCAGCCCGGTGGCCAAGAGGCCCCGGCCCAGTAGTGGGCAGCAGCCCATAAGTTGAGGACCCCTGTTCTAGACAGCTTGTCTGGTGTTAAATACCAGCAATACTGTATATCATCTTATAGAAATTTTCTTTTAAATTGCAGTTCAATGTAAAGTTTAAACTTTTCATCCACATATTCTCCTATTGTTCCAGCATCACATTATAACCAAAGTTCCTTGGCCATTGTATTATATGATGTTTTACATGCTCACTTTCCAAATCTAATAGCATTTCCTACACCTTAGCAATAATATGAATGCTCTACTTTCTGTCGATAGCGCTCAGTCTGATCATTAAACCAAGCTGCTTCTTAATATTTGACATGCTTGTTTTTTTAATAGGGAGCACAGGGAAGAGAGCCGGAATAGGTCCATTATTAAAACTGGGGAGAGAAACTACTTTCACGACTTTCAGCGACCACTCATTTTCAGACAGAAATGTTAACAGTCCGGCGGGAAGCTCGGTTAATTTTGTTTGAGAAGAAAAAGCGCGGCAGCTAGGACCCAGGGGAAGTCTGCTAGCAAGTACAGTAGTGTACATGGGCGGCGTTTAGGCCCGGAGAAGCAAGCACAGCCTGCCGCGGCTTCTGCTACGCTGCGGAGACGCGTTTGCTCCGGACGGCACTCGTGCAAGCAAGCGGACGTTACCCGGTAGGCAGTTAAAAATCTTTGGGGCCGGGTGGGTTAAAGCCAAAGCGTCCGAGTCGCTGTGCCTGCAAGCAGGAGGTGGGCGAGGTGAGCGGTCGAGCCGCCTCTCTTGCGGAGCTCTCGCCAAATTCTTAATTGCGCCCGGAGACGCGCAATCCCATCTGCGGGGGTCGCACGCGGGTGGGGGGCGGGGCAACGTTTCCACCTGTACAGCTGACCGAAGATCCTCACCTCTGATTCTCAGCACCGCACTCCCTAGGTTGATTTTTCGGAAACCGCCACAGGACCTGCTTTTTCAGGATCCGCATAAGGTATCGGTTAGAGTTATTTCAGATACGTAGGAGTGCAATTGGCCGTGCTGGTTGCGGACGGTGGGAGATCTCGAGCACAGCAAAGAATCGTTGCAGGAGGGATGCAGAGCCTCGTGCCATTTTCCTTTATAGTAGCCAGTTTTTACCCCCCCCCCCTTTAATCCAGTGGAAGAGCATCGGATTGGATTGAAAATACTGGTCAAACAGCTATCGCAGCATTAGTGGAATTCGGCGGCGTGCGGGGAGCAGGCATGTTTGCAGTCTTATGTCTGTCACCATAACCCACGTAGCCAGGGCTGGAACTCCCGCTCTTAGCCTTGGGTTCCTGGGAGCGTCCTTGGTCGATTAGCCGTTTTCTCTGGGAAAGTTCACAAGCCTTGGAGAAACAGCTGATGCTTGTTGTGGGGATGGCCTTGAAGAAAATTGCAAAGCACTGATCTGCGCGTTGCCCATAAACCCCCGTGCAAAATGTAGTCATGACAACATAACATTCAAGTATCATTTAAATGTCCTCTGAAAGGACACAGTGAAATAAAGCAAACCCCAGAGAGGTAGCCGGGAAGGCATACAAATGTCAGTCTTGTGAACAGAAGCAGAGATCTGTTTCTGACTTTTAAAAAGAGGATATTCAGGGAAAGCAGCAGAATCCTAATTGGGCAAGAAATTCAGGCAATGGGAAATCTAGCTCTTGAAGTCAAAGAAAAGTCAAAAGAGATGCAAAGAATTCTGGGACAGCACAATATAGATCAGTGGTGGCGAACCTATGGCACAAGTGCCAGAGGCGGCACTCAGAGTCTTCTCTGTGGGCATGTGCGCCGTCGCCCCAGCCATGCCTCCCCCTGCAGCCCCCTCCTCACTAGCAGCCCCCCCAGAGGAGAGTCACCCCCAAGCGAGGCCCGTGCAGGGCAGTGCAGCCAAGGAATGGCAGCCGGGCAGCGGGGCCAAGACTCCGCCCTCGCGCCCCGTTGCACGCAGTTGATGCTGCAGGATGTGGGCGAAGGGTGTGGCCACCATGGCACTGCTGGATCGCCTGGCAACCTGCGGCGGGCTGTGGAGGTGGTAGGTGGCTCTGTGGACAGGGCGGGGGCAGAGCTGGTTTTTGGGCACTCGGTCTGTAAAAGGTTCGTCATCACTGATATAGATCATAAATATAAAACCACACCCAAATAAGTTTATTAAGGATATTGCTTTCCTCTTCAATAACAGAAGCACTTTCTGCAGTTCCTAGAAGTCCTGTCCACCAGGCACTCGCCAAATATCCTGAGACCAAATCTCTCAAAAATAGAAGTAATCACAGTAGCTTGGCCTCTATTCCAGGTTGGGCATCATACATATAACATTATGTGTGATCAAGTCTGGGTCAACTCTTAGGGACAGCATGGATAGAGCTCCATGATGATCTGTCCCTAACCAGGCCCTTCAAGTCTTTCAACAGGCACTCTTAGCTGCTGGAACTGAATCCATCCACTTTGCTGCTGGTCATCCCCTTTTTCTTCTCTTTTCACCTCTCCAGCATTAGAGCCTTTTCTACAGAACTAGGTCGTCTCACAAAGTGTCTGAAGTAGGATAATTTGAGCGTGGTCAGTACATATATAGAATACCTAAACTTGATGATGATACAAAAAATAGCATGTAAAACAAATGTAAATAGCCACAGAGTTGAAACCCTTGCTATGCCCATGATGTGATTTTGGGGTGAGGGGATTTTTTTAAAATTATAGTTTATTATGTTTTTAGTTCTATAATTGTAAACTACCTGGACTCTTGGGAGATGGGTGGTATATAAATTATATGTAATGAATAAATGAAATAAATATTCACATCTGCATTGCTGTTACAAGTCGAAGAGAACTTGTCATGTCAATGGGGTTAAAGTTCTATGTAATGTGTCCAAATTCGTTTCCTAATTTCTTCTTCTGTTTCTTTTATTGGTGTCTCCACAGTTTCTCACCCAGCAGGATGGTGATGTTACACAGCTATTGTGAGGGAAATGAGTCCCTGGCACAAGCATGGACTCAAGAGGGATTGTCCCCTTGCTTCTACTTCACACTGGTCCCTGCAGTGCTACTCAGTGTCTGTCTTCTATTGGGTGCTCTACAGTATACCTGTTATGCTCAGTTCAGCCGCACCATGGAACCAAAGTACATCCCTCGGTCCCGCCTGTACTATACCCAAATTCTGGTCTCTCTACTCCTCACCCTGATGCCCTTCTGCACTTTCCTGTGGCAAGTGGTGGGCACCCAAGAACTTTATGGATATATGGTGCTGAATGTCTGCTTGTCTACCATTAGCTGGGCCACCTCAATTGGGCTGCTGCACCTGGAACGCACCAGGGTGATGGTGCAGGATCGGATCAGAGGCCATGGAGCAATCCTTCTACTCTACTGGGCTCTAGCTTTTTCTTCTGAGAATTTGGCCTTCATCTCATGGAACAGTCCACTCTGGTGGTGGGAATTAAAAAGCACTAACCAAAAGGTAGGATGGGTCAGTGATGAGGTCATGGGGATGATATGGTATAGGACAGGGGTATCAAACTCGTAACATCATGTGACGTGTCGTGACATATTGTGACTTTTTTTCCATTGCGGGGTAGGCGCGGTTTCAGCATGACGCATCCGCCCGCGGGCCGGCAGTTTAACACCCTGGTATAGGAAGATGATACCGTTTCTCTGGCAGTAAATAAAGCTAATTTCTGTGTCTTGTGCAGCATGATTTACAGCAGGTTCTAGTGCCAAAGAGTGTTGTTGGAAACTGTTCATCTTGGAAAACTTGTTTTCTACTATTAATTTATAACTCAGCTTTATGTATTTCAGGCCTTTTCAATAAATCATGGCTCAAGTTGTAACTCAGTATATGAACCAGCCCATCTGAATCATAATTCATGTTAGTAAGCAGAAAATTAATTTCATGTGCAGCACTATGTTATGAAAATCAACTATATTTAACAAACAACCTATTTCGAAAATAGAATAGAGAGGTTTTTTTAATCAATATGTTGCTTTCTTGAGCCTCATTTGATTCTTCCTAGATCTTGCCATATTTATAATAGGCAAGGCTTTGTAACTTTGAAGTTCAAATGAAGGCAGACAAATTAGACGTGATTTGGTACAGAAACATGTTGATTGAGACATGTTGATATTATGTCCCGTAGGCTGCCTTAAATATATGGAGGTATTGTCAGTGTTAACAAATGTTAACAAATATTAACATTTGTGTTAACAAATGTTAACTTTGGTGTGGAGTGCATTTTAATTGTATTACAATTAATATGGGAGGGAAATAAGGTGTGTTTTTTTCATCTAGTTGAGACTTTTGACTTGGCAGGCAATTGAAGACATCCTATATCAGAGACAGACATTTTCTTTTTTTAAGTTTGAGAATTATAAGAAATTATTTATAAGCTGAAATTATGTAGAAAATAAAGGAGATGAGCTAGCATTGAATGAATTGGACTAGCGCTGAATGAATCTGCCAGAAGTTGCCCCTGGTGCAAGCCATTGCACTGCTTATTTCTTTTTATCTCTCATGTTCTTCATGGCAGCATGTTTTTGCTGAATCATTGTTGTTGACTCATCATTGCTTAACAGTTTCACATGAGGGCAAGAGGGCAAACCACTTTCTCTTTAAATGTTGATAATAGGGAAAGAGACCTTATGCAAAGTCCCTTACCAAGCAGGTCTAGCCACAAGCTAAAATTCCCATTTCTTTGTTCTGGCAAGAATATACAAGAGATGAAGACTTGCTTCCTTCTCTCCTCCCCTGTAGGAATACCACGAGACAAAAGGGCATCTCTCTGAAGATCAGTTTACCTGACCCTAAAATTTGAAAAACAAGACAGAATGTAATTCCATCTGTAGTGCAGATGGTTTATTGGTTTATTAATGAGTTGCCTATTGCTTCCTTCCCATGTTTGTGACCCTTGCTCTTTATTGCACATCAGAATAAATTGTATTAGGTTTATACTATTTGGGTTCACAGTGTGGCTCTCTATACTTTATAGCAGGAGTGTCAAACTCGCAACATCACGTGACATGTCGCGACGTATCGTGACTTTTTTGCCATTGCCAGCAACGGGGTGGGTGCAGTTTGACACCTCTGCTTTATAACATTTCTGTTATCAGAGATAAAGGGAAGATGGAGTTCAAAAATGTCTGGATGGTCACAGGATCTTCTAATTTGCATTTGTTACTAAGCTATCTATTTGAATTACAGTAATACTGCAGGTTAACCTCAGGTTTGTTTCTCTGAGCAGGCAGCTATGCCTCTCCACACTGCCAGTTCATACAACCACCTTAAAAGTTGGAACTTGGGCCTAACTATTTCTGATGGGTCCCCACATAAATTTGCAAGTGGTCCTTCATTTACAAGAGTTCATTTAGTGACTGCTTGAAGTTACAACAGCACTGAAGAAGTAATTTATGATCCTTTTTCACACTCATGACTGTTGCAGCATCCCCAGGGTCACGTGATTTACATTCTGATGCTTGAAAACTGGTTCATATTTATGACAGATGCACTGTCCCGGGGCCACAATTGAGCCCAAAATGTATATTGCTAAATAAGAAATTTGTTAAGTGAGTTTTGCCCCTATTTACAACTTTTCTTGCCACATTTGATAAGTGAATTTGTTAACAACTGCAGTGATTCACTTAACAAATGAGGCAAAAAAAATTGTAAAATGGGGCAAAAGTCACTTAACAAGTTTCTCACTTAGCAATATAAATTTTGGGCTCAATTGTGATCCTAAGTCGAGGACTACCTGTATAAGGTGTGGCAGAGCAGAATAGCAACTGTTGGTTTCTTACCCCCTTGCATACTGTATAAAGTTAAAGTAGAATGACCATATTTTCTTGGAAAAAAATAGAAAACAAACCTGAAAGAAATTCATAAAGATAAAAAAAATTGTTTATGTTTATATCTTTGCTTTATAAAGGAAAATTCAAGAGTGACATCGAGGGAATAGATAATTATATAAATCTAAAGGACAAAGGATGTGTGGGCGCTATAGGTTAAGAATGCCTCAGCTACAAGTGGCAGCCAAGGAGAAGTAGCAGTAGTAATATTTGGCTTGCGCAGATTGTCACTGGAGAGCAAACTGCCAGTGAGAGGGTCCCTGTCACAGACTACATTTAAATGCTAGCCTCTCCTGGCCCTGATCCCTTCTCTTGCCCTGCCGCTCAGTCACATGACTGAGCTTTCCTAGGGCTTCTGTGCTACAATTGCAGGCCTCGGACAGGAAGAGGTGTCAAGGGGCAATAGGAAATACTTTCCCACAGGTAGTGAAATCAAGTGCGGGGGGGGGGAATCAGGATTACCACTAAATGATCCCTAAAGCTACTGGGCGGGACTACCTTTGGGATTTGCTACAAAAAATGTGGGGCCTTTTTGTAATTGATACAGTTCTCTCTATTCTTGGCTATAGTAGTAATAAACTAGTGTTTTCAGTGCTTTGACCATTGTTTTGGTGGACCAACCTTTGGTTGAGCGCTTTAGAGTTTATGTTTGGCCAGTGAAATGCCAGCTTCTCCTCCATTTGACTGTGGAATTGGGTATTGGAGAAGAAGCACTGCCTGGTTTGTAGCCATTGGAGGGGTGGGGCAGAAAGAAGGGAAGCTCTTGCTGAAGTGCGCCACTGACCCAAATTCACTCTCCCAGGTCCAATTCAGCCTGTGGTTCCTGCGTTATATCAGCACCTTCATCCTCTTCATTTTGGGGATCAAGGCCCCAGGACTGCCTCGAAAACCTTACATGCTTTTAATTAATGAAGATGAGCGTGATGTGGAAACCAGTCAGGTAAGTTTCTTTTCCTCTATCCAAGATAAATCTTGCTGTGGGTTTGTTTGCTAGGCTTTGCTTTAGATTTGAAGAGAAGTGCTTCAGAGCTTGTGGGGACCAAATGTAGTTCCCTTCAGCAACTCCTTAAAGTAGTTATGATCAATGTAACAACAACAACAACAATAATAATAATAAAGCTGAAGGGACCTTGGAAGTCTTCTAGTCCAACCTCCTGCTCAGGCAGGAAACCCTATACCATTTCAGACAAATGATTGTCCAGTCTCTTCTTAAAAACTTCCAGTGTTGGAGCATTCACAACTTCTGAAAGCAGGTTGTTCCACTGATTAATTGTTCTAACTGTCAGGAAATTTTTCCTTAGTTCTAGCTTGCTTCTCTCTTTGATTAGTTTTCATCCGTTGCTTTTTTTTCTGCTTTCAGGTGCTTTGGAGAATAGCTTGACTCCCTCTTCTTTGTGGCAGCTCCTGAGATATTGGAACACTGCTATTATGTCATCCCTAGCCCTTCTCTTCATTAAACTAGACATACCCAATTCCAGCAATCTTTCCTTATATGTTTTAGCCTCCAGTTCTCTTATCATTTTTGTTGCTCTTCTCTGTACTCTTTCTAGAGCAGGGGTCTTCAAATTTGGCCCTTTTATGACTTGTGGACTTCAGTTCCCAGAATTCCTCAGCCAGCGTGCCTGGCAGAGGAATTCTGGGAGTTGAAGTCCACAGGTCATAAAAGGGCCAAGTTTGAAGACCCCTGCTCTAGAGTCTCAACATCTTTTTTACATTATGGTGACCAAAACTGGATGGAGTATTCCAAGTGTGGCCTTACCAAGGCATTATAAAAGTGGCATTAACACTTCACATGATCTTGATTCTATCCCTCCGTTATGCAGCCTAGCACTTTTGTTTTGTGCTTAACACCTTTACTGTTAATGTTCCTTTTTTATTCCCCCCACTATCTGTCAGCAATAGGTTGTGAGAGGAAGGTACTATTCTGAAGATGGCAATGAACTTGTCATTGAAAATATTGCCAGTTCCCAACATCCTCTTCACTACATTGATGGGTTTTATTAGAGTTTAGTTCAATGCATCTGGAGGATTCCTATTCCTGGTTGCCAGGTTGCTGATCTCAATTGAGATAGAATTAGGATTAGAAACTTCATTTTGTTATAGAATAAGAGCTTTTACTGGAAATTGAATGCTTACAACCTAGTAACTGAGCAGATGCTTGGTATACCAAAGGCCCCAAAAATCAGTCCTTGGCCCCTTCAGCTAAAGCTGATTCAAGCAATAAGGACTTCTGACTGAAACTCTGAAAAGCAAAAGGAAGCTTGAAGAAACTGGATTCTTCAGCTTTATTCCATTGTAGAAAGCTCAGGGGCTTTAAATTGGAGTTTGTTACAATAAAAATCAATTTATCCCTTACTGAGAGCATACCATACCTGATACTAGAGCAGCTCTTGCTGAATTTCTCAGAATCATTCAGTTTTACAGGAGCCTCTACTATTGTAGTGTATCATAATGCCCAGATTTTAAAGAGAAAGAATAATAAAGGAAAAGTATAAAGTTGTTATGACATGAACATAGTATGAGGCTAATCCAATGGCTTTGAGTCAAACTGGTACCTGCCATAATCTACCAGCAGCTTTTTGTACATGCTATTCAGAAATTAGCCAGATTTAGTCAGAAAAGGCTGGGAATAATGCTTGCAGATGCTCAAGACTTTTTGTAGGAAATATGAGTGCTAAGTTTATAATAGATATGTCTACCTAAAAAATGGTTCTTTTTCAACAGAATTTGAAGTAGTGTGATATCTAAGTTTCATATCAATAAATGCACCCTTGAAAGAAGCCAAATCAGGGTTTGGTCTCTATCCCTTGAGGTGCTCAGATATTTCGAAAATATTTACTCCAACTCAGTTTACTTCTAGTCATCTGTGCCAGACTAGGAAAAAATGGTTTAAAGGTGCTAAGATACGATTGGGAAGGAGATGGATCATTCCTCTCTTCCATATATGCACACTATTTTAAAAATAAGATCCTTCTACATGTTACAGACTAATAAGTTTTAATAAGCATGTTTTAATAAGATAACGTGATATTATAAATCAAGGTGAATATATGTGTCCCAGGATAGTGTTGCAGGATCCAATCTGGTTCAGTCACCAGGACCAGAGGTTTAGTCTTTCGAGCTTTCAGGTTTGTGCTGGAGCCCATCTTCAGGCTAGAGAAAATTTCCCTGAGGATGGGGGCTCTGGCACGAGTCCAAAAGCTCAGAAGACAAAAGTCCCGGTGACCTACTCAGATTGGATCCTGCAACGTGATATTAACACGATGAAACATGCTTTAAAAATAGATACATGTCTAGTTTCATCCTGTCATAATATTTGTAGAACGCATTGAAAGGTATAACGGGATTCCCTCTGAAAAGAAGAGTACATATGATGCTGTTATTTATTGTTATTATTATTATTGATCATCGCACAGTCAGCCAGATGTTCAGACTGGATTTGGCATTTTGTCTACCTATCGAGTCCTTACCCAGGACCTGGGATAGGCAGATGTGGATGTTTGATGGTATTACAGATATTGTCGCAGGATGGAAGCAGTTCCTAGTAAGGCCGCCTTTTGCAATTGACTAATGGCGAATTTATCAATGCCAATTGTGTTCAAGTGGTGCTCCAGTTGTTTTGGGATTGCACCCAAGGAGCCTATTACTATTGGTACTACCCTTGCTTGCTTTTGCCACAGTCTTTCTATTTCTATTTGTAGGTCTTTGTATTGTTGTTGTTGTTGTTATTATTATTATTTGGATAAGAACTTTTAGACATAGAAAAACCTTATTATAATATAGACCAGTGCTTAGAGATTGTGAAACTTGAAATCCAGCAGCAGTTAGCATTTCTTCTCCATTTTGTGGAGAAGAAATTTAATTTTGCTTCTTTTCATAGTGGTATTTAAAACAGAATGCTACAAACATTCCCGGTTCTAATATATTTTTAATGTATAACTACTTATTTCTGCTTAAGGATAAAAAATATGAAATAACTCTAGAAGATGTGAATGATCTTCCGCAGAGTATTATATGGGTATTTCCTTGATTTGTACTTGGCTTGCACTTACATTTTAGTGCAGTCAACATTTTTTTTATATCAAGGAACCTGAGTTATGACATCAATATAATTTATACAAATCAAATATGCAAATATTCTTACTTGCATATGTAAATATAATGTTCATTTTTAAAAAAATAAAAATTGTATTTTCCCATAATACCAGCTGCCTGCTCAACCACCAACAGTTGTTCCCTGTCACTGTTTCTATGAAACATGCATATAGTACAGTGGTACTTCAGTACTCATCATTAATAATAATAATAATAATAATAATAATAATAATAATAATAATAATAATAATAATAATAAAGTTGGAAGGGACCTTGGAGGTCATCGAGTCCAACCCCCTGCTCAGGCAGGAACCCTATACCATTTCAGACAAATGGCTGTCCAGTCTCTTCTTAAAAACTTCCAGTGTTGGAGCATTCACCGCTTCTGGAGGCAGGTTGTTCCACTGGTTAATTGTTCTCACTGTCAGGAAGTTTCCCCTTAGTTCTAGGTTGCTTCTCTCCTTGATTAGTTTCCACCCGTTGCTTCTTGTCCTGCCTTCAGGCGCTTTGGAAAATAGCTTGACTCCCTCTTCTTTGTGGCAGCCCCTGAGATATTGGAACACTGCTATCATGTCCCCCCTCGTCCTTCATTAAACTAGACATACCCAATTCCAGCAGCCATTCCTTATATGCTTTAGCCTCCAGTCCTCTAATCATCTTTGTTGCTCTTCTCTGTACTCTTTCTAGAGTTTCAACATCTTTTTTACATCGCGGTGATCAAAACTGGATGCAGTATTCCAAGTGTGGCCTTACCAAGGCATTGTAAAGTGGTATTAATACTTCATGTGATCTTGATTCTATCCCTGTGTTAATGCAGCCTAGCACTGTGTTGGCCTTTTTGGCAGCTGCAGCACACTGCTGGCTCATATTTAGGTGATTGTCTACTAGGACTCTGAGGTCCCTCTCACAGTTGCTACTATTGAGCAAGATACCACCTATACTATATCTGTGCATTTGGTTTTTCTTGCCTAAATGTAGAACCTTATTTTTTTCACCACTGAATTTTACTTTGTTAGATAGCACCCAGTGTTCAAGTCTGGCCAGGTCCTCCTGTATCTTAAGCCTGTCTTCTGGAGTGTTGGCTATTCCTGCCAGCTTGGTGTCATCTGCAAATTTGATGAGTTCCCCATCTATCCTCTCGTCCAAATCGTTGATGAAGATGTTGAAGAGCACTGGGCCCAGAACAGAGCCCTGGGGCACTCCACTACATACTTCCCTCCATGTAGATGCGGTTCCATTGAGGACCACATGCTGAGTACGGCCAGTCAGCCAGCTACGGATCCATCTGGTGGTGATGCTGTCTAACCCACATTTTTCTATCTTATCAAGTAGTAGGTTGTGGTCTACTTTGTCAAATGCCTTACTGAAGTCCAAGTAAATTATATCCACAGCATTTCTCTGGTCCACTAATTTTGTCACTTGGTCAAAGAATGCAATAAGATTTGTCTGGCATGATCTGTTTTTGACAAACCCATGTTGGCTTTTAGTAATGACTTTGTTTGCCTCTAGGTGTTCGCTGATTCGTTGTTTGATTATCTTTTCCAGGATCTTCCCAGGTATTGAGGTCAGGCTGATAGGTCTGTAATTTCCTGGGACCATTTTTTTCCCTTTTTTGAGGATGGGAACTACATCAGCTCTTTTCCAATCCTCTGGTAGTTCCCCAGTGCTTCAGGATCTTTGAAAAATATAGTTCAGTAGTTCCGAGATCATATCTGCCAGTTCCTTGAGAACCTTGGGGTGTAATCCATCTGGTCTTGGCGATTTGAACTCGTCTAGGCTGGACAGGTGCTCACTTACCATTTTCTTGCCTATCTTAACTTGTGTTTCTATTCTGTTTTTGATGGCACTATTTTTGATAGGTTGGTCTGTTTTTTCCCTTTGTGTAAAGACAGATGTAAAAAACGAGTTAAATAGTTCTGCTTTCTCCCTGTTGCTTGTCACCTTCTTGCCACTTTCACCCACTAATGGACCAATCATTTCCTTTACTTTTTTCTTGTCTTTTACATGTTTTTTACATGTTGGTTCCACAATGATAAATGATAATGATAAATATCAAACAAATTTTTCCCATAAAGAATAATGTACTGAGTCATAAGGCAGTCAACAGCGACAAGTTCTAGCGTGTGCTGAATACCAAACAAACAATTAGTACGGGACAAAATTTTTGTGGCACAATACATTGATGAGTTTAGAAGCAGTTGAATATCAAGATACCACTGTATTACTATATTGCTGCTTTATAGTTTACATAGAACAAGAATAATCATTATGTCCTCATTTAGCTTTCCAGGGCACCTGATTAATTACAGGTAGCATATTTTACATAGTTTATATAAAAATATCCTAATTAATTCTGGTGAACCCCCACTTAAGTATGAGCGAGCAGTGTGCTACAGCTGCCAGAAAAGCCAACACAGTCCTAGGCTACATCAACAGAGGGATAGCACGAAGGCCATGGGAAATATAGTACTGCTCTATATTGCACTAGTGAAGCCACACTTGGAATACTGCATCCAGTTCTGCTCACCACATTACAAAAAGGATGCTGAGGCTGTAGAAAGAGTGCAGAGAAGAGCAACAAAGATGATAAGGGATTTAGAGGCTAAATTACATGATGGGTGGCTAAGGGAACTAGGTATGTTTAGCATAACAAAGAGAAGATTTGGGGGAGACCTGAGAGTTGTCTTCAAATATTTGAAGAGCTGTCAGAGGGAAGAGGGTTGATTTATTCTCCACCTGAGGACCTGAGGGCAGGATAAGACAGCAATGGGTGGAAGTTCATCAGAGGGAAATTCAACCTGGAAAAAATGGAGGAATTTCCTGGTAGTGAGAACAATTAATCAGTGGAACAGCTTGCCTCCCGGAGTTGTGGGTGCTGCATCGTTTGAGGTTTTCAAGAAAAGATTGGACAACCATTTGTCTAGTATGATATAAGGCAGTGGTTCTCAACCTTTTTAATGCCGCGACCCCCAACCGGTCGTAAGTCGAGGACTACTCAACTGGTCGTAAGTCGAGGACTACTCAACTGGTGCAGCACCATTTGCAGAATGGGGCTTTTGGCGGGCTCAGCAGGGCAGAGACAGCCTGGACAATTCCTATTGGCTTTTGAAAGCCAATAGAATTAGACTCTATTCAAGAGAGTCTATTCTATTGGCTTTCAAAACCCAATAGAATAATAGGGAGTAGCGCAGCTAAGGAAAAGGGGGAAAAAATGGCAGACTGCGTTGTTTGGCGATCCCCGTGAAATGGTCGTTCGACCCCAAATGGGGTCCCGACTCACAGGTTGAGAACCACTGGTATAGTGTTTCCTGCTTGAGCAGGGGGTTGGACTAGAAGACCTCCAAGGTCCCTTTCAGCTTTATGATTCTGTGATTCCGAATGCCTAAAAGTACACTTTACAAACTTCAGTGAGATAGGTGTGCTGTATTTGTTGCCAAATTTGAAGATAAATGTGTTATGTCATTACGAATCTAGCAACGTTTGAAATACTTCAAGGCTTTTAATGGCTTAAAAAAATATATTACTCATAGCTAATCTTTAAATATTTATATATTTAAAAACATAGTAGATGATATGTGGGTATTTACCATCAAATATCTATGTATGTGGATACGTGTACAAGTGAATATACATCTGGTATACTAGCGATCAGATATTCCCATGTCTCATTTGAAGAATAACTTGAGAAAGAGAAATTATTAGAGTCCCAATACAGTGGAAACACAGAAAGCTGCCACACTAAAGTAGATCTAGTTCGGATACTGTAGACTAACTGGCAACAATTCACCAGGATTTCAGACCAGAGTCTGTTCTAACTCTTCTGGAGATACTAGATTTAGCTTGGGACCTTCTGCATAAAAGTAACCATTTCTACTGAGTTGCAACCTTTCCCAGGATTAAGAAGGATTCTACATTATCCTGTCAGATCTGGAAATAGCCACAGTCCAAAGCTATGTTTGAATATGACATCAAAGGAGGAACAGTCAGTCTGTGGCCACAATGAAGCATGTGGAAAAGCTGTAGTGTAAGCCCTGTAATAATAGGGCTAACGTAGTTTTAAAATAACTCTATTAAAAGAAAAATCATCTCCAGAAACAAACAGAAAGCTGATCCCACTTATTTGCATTATAACCCTTCCCCCTGCAGCCCTTGGATTCACATAAATTGCTTTGTATCCCCTGGCCTGCAAACAGTTGTCTACTTCTCCACTACACTATGATACACCCAGTGAAGAAGATTTCATGAACTTTAAACTCACATGCCTTTCCACCAACTGGGAATAGAGTTTGTTTTTAGAGACTGCTGGCTTATTGCATCTTTTGCAGTAACAAAGTTTTAAACATTAAGCTGAGGTTAGTTTCAAATAAGTTACTTTCAAAGCTTCATTTTTAAGTTGAACTATTCAAACTAGGAATTATTGCAACCACAATTCTGTGTCTGGGCCAGACGGTGAATTGTTGTTTGTGGTCTCCTTGGCTGCTTAGGAGGAAAAAAACAAAAAGAGGAGCCTCTGAACCCATGACTCGCTGTAACTCATTTCCTTCTTATATATATATATGTTAATTTATTAGTTAGCTGGATTCATGAACATGGCTCTGGATAAAACCTTTGCCCTCTGGACTCTTTCTAATTATGTTTTTCTAGGTTGCTTTTTCCCCCTGAAATGAGATACCTGAAAAGTCATTGGATTCTTCGACCATTCCTAATTTCTTCTTTCCCTGGTATCATGTAAATTGGGGTCACAGTTCCCAGAATTCTGTTCCAAATGACCAAGATTGCAGCCTAGGATTTTGAAAGTGCAGCCTCAGCGTTCTGGAGAGTATACCCTGATGGGAAATGCTATTTTATATGCTTTTTAATGAGCAAAATCTACATTTTCCTTATTTGTTTATTTATTTAAATTTATATGCGGCCCATCTTACTATCTAAAATGACTCTGGGCAGCTTATCCTTTCAAGTCCCTTTTCTTTTCTTACCTGTCAGTTCTTCTTCTTCCTCTTCTTCTTCTTCTTCTTCTTCTTCTTCTTCTTCTTCTTCTTCTTCTTCTTCTTCTTCTTCTTCTTCTTCTTCTTCTTCTTCTTCCTCCTCTTCCTCCTCCTCCTCCTCCTCCTCCTCCTCCTCCTCCTCTTCTTCTACTACTACTACTACTACTACTACTTCTACATCTATTTCTACTTCTTCTTCTGCCATATCCGTTATTGGACGTTGGCAATCATGTTGGCGATCCTGTTTTTATCAGCAGCTGCACAAAAAAGTGCTGCTGAGTTTTGTCCAGACCAGTCCCTTAGATTTTGAAGTCACGATGTTCTTCTTCTGCCTGGACCTCGTTTGCCTTCAAACTTTCCCTGGAGGATTAAATGGAGTATGCCGTATTTTTCTGGGTGTCGCATCACATGTCCGAAATATTCTAACTTTTGTTTTTTAACTGTTTTGATGATTTCCCTTGGCTTTCCCAGGCGGCTTATCACCTCCTCATTTCTGATCTTGTCAACCCAGCTTATACGTAACAGCCGCCTGTAAATCCACATTTCAAATGCTTCTAGTCTCTTCAGGTGGCCTTCTGTCAGAGACCAACTCTCTACTCCATAGAGCAGGAGAGAGAGAAATATAGCATCTGACAAGCCTGATTTTCAGTCTTAGTTCTTGTCTCTGCCTTATTGAGCAGGTGCCAACCCTCTCAAATATTTCCAGCAAACCTGCCCCAAATCTCTTCCCATTTACTTATTTCTCTTCTCTTATTTTAGCCCCTGCTTCCAGATGCCAGGCAGAACACCTCCACATGGAAGGATATGGGCCAGAAGATACTCCTCCTTATACAGTACATGTGGCCAAAGAAGAACTACCCGCTACAGGGCATGGTGATATTCTGTCTAATGCTTATGGGGATGGAGCGTGCCATCAATGTCTTTGTGCCCATCTACTACAAGCATATCGGTAAGAAGAGTGGGTGACTTGCAGGAAGGCCAGGTGCTGCCTCTAGGGCAGGGCTGGTCCAACTTTTGGTAAGCAGGAATTGCAGTTAGGGATGTGTGGGAATGTTTTATGGGAGTGTTTCTCAATCAAAGCAACTTTAAGCATTGGCTAGGGAATTCTGGTCCACACATCTTAAGGTTGCTGAGATTGAGAAACATTGGTTTAAGAGATATAGTGAGTGGGTTGATTGTACAAAACAAGAGGAGCTGTGATGCATATGGGCAAATTGGAGAAAATTTTTTTTTTGGCAAGAATACACAGAATTTTTTTCATAATTTACAATTACGCTAAGCCTATTTTCAGTTTACCCTTCTGATTTGTCTCCCATGTCAAAATAATAAGAAACTCAAACTCAATGATATAATCAGGAAAGGATCAAAGAGGGACAGGGGAGTGGTTCAGATTGTTCACCCCGGCATTGTGCCACAGAATTTGCCTGGGAGAGTTTTGTAAGTAGAGGTAATCCCTGAGTTATGAATGCTCCCTTAGCGAACGTTCGAAGGTATGCGATAAGCACCCCCTATTGTTTACGAAAAAGTCCCAAAATTATGAATGTTGTCACACCATGGCAGTTGTTCACCCTTATGAATGACCACAGAGGCACTGCAACATTCAGTGGCTACAACATTGGGTACTCTCCCCCTACCCCCACCCCAGGTCTCCCTAGGCCAGGGGTAGGCAACCTTGGCTCTTTTATGACTTGTGGACTTCAACTCCCAGAATTCCTGAACCAGCCATGGTGGCTCAGGAATTCTGGGAGTTGAGGTCCACGAGTCATAAAAGAGCCAAGGTTGCCTACCCCTGCTCTAGGCACTAGGCTAGTGGTGGCGAACCTATGGCACGGGTGCCAGAAGCGGCACTTGGAGCCCTCTCTGTGGGTACATGTGCCGTTGCCCCAGCCTTGCCTCTTCCCCCACAACCTCCTCCTCCTCTCCAGCAGCCCCCCGGAAGGAGAATCGCCCCCAAGTGAGGCCCACATGGAGCAGCGCAGCCAAGGACATGGCAGCCAGGCAGCGTAGACAAGACTCTGCCCTCACACCCCATCACACAGTTGATGCTGCAGGGCGCCGGCAGAGGGTGTGGCCACCATAGCACTGCTGGGCTGCCTGGGCGATCTGTGGCGGGCCCTGGAGGCAGTGAGTGGTCCTGTGGGCAGGCGGGGCAAGGGATGGGGGGAGAATGAGGGCGGGGCAGGGGGTGGAGCGGGGCCAGTTTTTGGGCACTCTGTCTCTAAAAGGCCTTGTGCAGATCTAGAGAGTCTTCACTTCTTGGCTGTTCTGCTGCTTCGAGCTTTCCATGCATTTGCAGAGAATGGTGACCTAAAGTACTGCAAGATCATGAGAGATCAGTGCCTGATACTACTGATCTCGGCCTTATCTCACTGTACTGTAGACCTCTGTTCTCTGCAAATGGAGACTTGGACGAGATCTGTGGCAAAAAGCTTTGCAAATGGAGGTAAGGGCTGAAACATTGAAGCCTTTCCTCTGTTTGCAAAGCCTTTTGCCATCTTTGCAAAAAGCCTCTGCCGCTGAGAAGGGGCCTCCGGAGACCCGCTGCCATCATTCCCAACCTCTGTTCTGGGCGTGGTAGGCCCACAGGAGCCGCTCAGAATGGAGGTCGGGAGCAGCTGGTTTCCGGAGTCCATTCTGGGCGGAGGAGTTCTGAGGGCCTCCCCCCATCCAGAATGGAGGTTGAGAGCAATGGCCTAGAACAGTGGTTCTCAACCTTTTTAATGCCACGACCCCCCCCCAACCGGTCGTAAGTCGAGGACTACTCAACCGGTTGTAAGTCGAGGACTACTCAACTGGTGCAGCACCGTTTGCAGAATGGGACTTTTGGCGGGCTCAGCAGGCAGAGACAGCCTGGACAATTCCTATTGGCTTTTGAAAGCCAATAGAATTAGACTCTATTCAAGAGAGTCTATTCTATTGGCTTTCAAAAGCCAATAGAATAAAAGGGAGTAGCACAGCTAAGGAAAAGAGGGGAAAAAATGGCAGACTGCGTTATTTGGCGACCCCGTGAAATGGTCGTTCGACCCCAAATGGGGTCCTGACCCACAGGTTGAGAACCACTGGCCTAGAAGCTTCCAGACTCTGCGCCAAAAGCGCACACCAACAGGAGGTTTGAAGCAACGTGATTTCGTTGCCCTCAACCTCCCTTCGACGTCCAAACGCTTTTCCATGCCAAGCTTGGAAGCCTTTAGAAGAGACTCACTAAGGCTGCCCGCCACTCCAGAAGTGGCCGGCAGTCCAGTGAGTCAGAGAAGCCAAGCAGGGCGCACTCGTCCTGCTCTCCCTGTGCTGGAGAGGAGACAGATCTTCACCCAGCACGACAGGATGGAGGTGGGGGAGCAATTGAAGGGACCCCAGGGGAGGGAGAATGAGGTATTTCAGTGGGTCGGGGGAGGCCTTGGGTGGTCTGAATTAGGTGGCCTGTTCCATCACTAGCCCTCCCCCCCATGGCCTTCCCCACCCTGAGATACCTCATGTTCATTTAATGAGCCACACATTCTCCCACATATTAAATTAGCGAATGCCTGAGCGAAAGCAGGGAGTGATCTCGTTCGAGGTACGAGATTCACTCCCATGAATTCTTGAGTTACGAATAGAATGGGCAGTCTCCGTTACATTCTTAACTCGAGGACTACCTATACAGCAGGGAGGATAACGGTTTAAGTAATGTCCTCTCTTTTAGTTAGTGCTCCAAATTAGCCAGCAGAGGGTGCTCTTACACAACTGCTTACAGAATGCAGAATATTTTCATAGAAAGGGTCAAGTACAACCAGCCAAATTAGTTGGTATTGGCTGTTAATTTTCCGATAATTACAAACGCTTGTCTCAGTGAGCCCTAGCCATCTGGAAGCTCTCCAGGTCGTGAGTCCTTAACAAGCACTTGTTTTAAGCACCCATTGCAAAATAATGTTTGGTGAGACTTTGAACCAACTTCACTCCCCAAAGTGACTGCCAGCAAAATGCTTGACACATATACACGGCGGGAAAGAACTTTATGTGTGTCAAGATATGTTCCTCTTGTCCCTTAGAGGCACTTCCCTACCTCTGCAAAAAGTGATGCAGTGGATTGGGATAACAAAGCGCTCAGCTGTACTACTTGGAATTGCATACCACACGTATTCTAAAACACATACAGTATGTGCATACCATTCCTACCAGCAAATGTGCTCTTTATACCGTAGTTCTGCCACTTCATTTTTATGTCGTCTAGAAAACACTTTCTTTTTCGTCCATCTCTTCTGTGTTCTATCTTTGATCTTCATTAAGACTCACAACTTCCATGAAGCTCTTTCTTGCTAAAAACTGCGGCTTCACCTAGCACTTCCCCAACCATTCTTGTCTTATCCCCACTTTCTCTACCCACATCCCTGCTCTTCTTCCATCCCCAATATCTCCATCTCATGTACATTTTGATCTCTAGGTGGAAAATTACTTCTTTATCTGCAAAATTACAGCACATAATTTGGGTAGTGATGGGATCGTGATTTTATAAGATGGGGGGGATCAAGCTAGTATTTTTGACTGGGAAGACGTGAATTCAGTAGCTTCTTAAATTCTCCCAAATACCTCTCCCTATTCTCTCACCAGATCTCCAGTCCTGAGCCCCACTGTGACTTCCTATCCTGCCTGCTTCTAGACTAACTATTGAATTTCGGAGAGGAGCGCTAGCTCTTTGTTAGCAGAAACTGTTGGTGTTTGCCAGTTTCCCATGCCCTGGTGGGCACTGTGAGTGCCAATTCGGGGCAGCTATTGAGAGGTATTTGAATAGAGGGGATGGACTCTAGACCTGCCTTTCAGCCCTGACTTTTAGACTTTACAAAAGAATCCCTGTAGGCGGGAGGCATGGAACTGCAAATGGCATACAAAATGGCTGGATGAGAAGGAATCCGGGAGCAGGATGGCTCTGTCCTACATGTTAAGTAGTTTCAAGGCAGGAACATTGTCTTCCTCAGGCCCACCTGGAGGAGGCTTTGCTCTGCAGATTTTAACCAGATCCTCTGCCCATTCCTAGTCTGAATGCAGCTGTCTGGTACAGTAGCCTTTGACTTATGACTACAATTGAGCCTAGAATTTCTGTTGTGAAGCGAGACAGTTGTTAAGCGAATTTTGCCCCATTTTAGACCTTTCTTGCCATAGATGTTAAGTGAATCATTGCAGCTCTTAAGTTAGCAACATTGTTGTTAAATGAGTATGGCTTCCCCATTGACTTTTCCTCTCAGAAGGTCACAAAAGGTGATCACATGACTCTGGTACACTGCAACCGTCATAAATACAAGTCACTTGCCAAGCATCTGAATTTTTATCACATCACCATGGGGATGCTGCAGCGGTGGCAAGTGTGAAAAACGGTCATAAGTCACTTTTTTCAGTGCCTCTGTAACTTCAAACAGTCACTAAATGTTGTAAGTTGAGGACAGCCTGTATTCTAGAGCTCATTCTTGTCCAGCAATGGACTTATGAACGTGGTTATCCCTTGCTGAGTCAATCCAGCAATCTATTTGGCTCAGTATCCTCCCTTTGTCATCAGAAAATGATGGGCATGCTTCAGTTATGAAGTTATCAGGCTGCCCATGGCCGGGCCACCAGTATACTTGTTTAATCGCTCACACACGTGTGCAAATAGAAAGGGTGGAAAGGAAAATGGTGCTCTTCAGCAGGTCACTTCAGCCTCGTCCCATTTTCTTAACAGTGTTGCAGTTGCTTATGGTGCTCTACCTGAAGCTGTAGTAAAGTGGAGGGAGCAATATTCCATAAAACACACTGCCAGTGACATTGTTATCCATAATGGATGTCACATTTCTGATGTGATGTATACCACATCAGTATCCAGCAGAGTGTTGGGGATTACAGTGATCCTCAAAGTTCCCTATAGACCTTCCCATCCAACTGGGTGGGATGTGACTTCCAGATATCTACTTCAGCAAAAGAGCAGCCTATTCAACTGGTAGATGAAGATGAGCTGGATAATTATGGGCTATGCATAATTATGGGCCAAGGACTATGGATAGATAGCCCATGTGTGTTGATCCACAGTTTCTGGTAGAAATTGTGCTTTCAAACTCTCAGGGCTAGCAGTCACCAGCATCTACATATATACCTAATTCCCTGTTTCTTTTGACTCATTTCTACCTTGTACTACTATTATGGGTGGTGGTGGGGAGATTCAGCTGCCTGTCAGTTTTCAGTAATAGAATTAAGGATCTCAGTTCTCAAAAATTTACAAGCCAGAGGAATGAGTTTGGTAAATGTTTTCTTCATAATTACAGTGGGACACATAGTATTATTATATTGTTTCTTCATTTTTAGACTCAACATATACCACATGGATTTCTGGTGCTATATAATTAGAAATCCCCCAAAGAAACAATAATCCTAGTAGTACAAATATATTTGTAATACGTTTAAATCATGATTCATTCAGTGATTCAAAATTAAATTATATACCAATGACAGACTTAATTAATGATCCTTCTGAATGTCTCCATTGTATACCTAAAGCTCCGGAGTGATGTCAGCTTTTGGATTTCTGGTGAGAGGCTCTTCCTAGAGTTATCACTGTTTAGGAATTGATTAAATTCTGGGCATTTACAAATGCTTAATTCTACATTTAAACTTTCTTTCCTTGTAAGTCTCTTGTAAATCTGTTTAATAGTTTTCCCTGCTTTGTTATTTAATGACTATTTTTAATGTAATGTGTTGTGCACTTTATCCCTGGATTTATGTATGTTGAGAGAGACATGTGTCATGAGGAAGTTAGAGCACTACCAGCTTCCCATTCAGTATCTTGGTGGAAAAACAAAGGAGGGTTGCGTGTTGTGCGGGACAGTTAAAGCCTCTGCCTGGATGGTGGGTCTGTCAAACTCTTCTCTCTATCGAAAATCTCTATTTCTAAGGTTGAAATTTGGCAGGTACTTTTGTGTCATATCATGAGATGGACAGAAGATGGAGAGTCACAGAAAGTTGAAATGTGACATTTACTCAAGAAGATCTGGCTTGAAATGCACTGCCTCGCTTTTTGGCTTTGCGACACTCACTGTTACCCAGCCTTCGTTCTTCATGCTAAAAAAAAAAGGGGGGGGCGGGGGGGGAAACAACCATCTTAGTTTTAAAAAATATCAGTGACACATATTCCTTCAGGGACACATATTCCTTCAGGGACACTTGCCCCATCTCCCCCACCATCCCTCCCCATGTGTGCCATTTTCTCCATGTAAAATAGTCTACTTCATGCCTTTGTTTAGGAACACGATGGTTTTAACATCACCTACCATGTGTAAAATAAAATAAAATGGAAAGGAGGGGGGGGGAAACTCTCTTCCTGATCCCCTCTTCCCACCATGTGGAAGGATTGGAAGGCAAAAAAGGGGGCACTGCCAAATGGGGTCACCCACCCTGCCAGTTAGGATTACCCAGCAAAGTGCCGCTGGCGGCAAACAAACAAGGGGCCTTTGTGTCTCCCAGCAGCCTAGCAGGGGGTTGGGAGTGGGAGCTTTGTTGCTGTGCGGTTCCTTGAAAGGGGGAACAAAGGCAGCCAGGAGATTCCACTGGAGGCTCTCCGGCTGGACGAGCTCAAGGAGACATTCAGAAAACCCGTACCCGTGACTGCCGAGGGAAAATCCACACAGGGAGAGCAGGATCTGACCCAGGATGTGACACTCTAGTTCTGGACTGCCTGTTCAGGTGTGGAAAACGAATCCAAAGAGGGAAAAACGTTCCCTACTCCCAGGGGATCCCAAGGCAGCCAACCTAAAGTCACCCAAACGTTCCTCCTGGGCAGTCAGACAGAGATTCAGAGGTTTAAAACAGGCAATGTTTCGACAGGGGCACCAAGAAAGAAAAGAGAAAAGAGGATGCTACTGCTGGTGGTTATATTTCATTCAAGAAAAGCTTTAAAATTGGGCACTACCACAGAGAAGGCCCCTCCCACTGTTTTCTTTTTTGTCAGAACATAATATATTTATTTCAGTCCCAACACTGGAAGAAAGGCCTCTTTGAAGATCTTTACACATGGATAAGAGGAGGGGGAAAAAAATAGGCTGCTTTGAATTCAAAGCCATTTGGGAATAGGATGCTGGGATGAAGGTGAAGAGCTCCCAGTAGGAGGCCACTTGATACTCAAGCTGTTTCCTGCCTATTAACCATCCATGACTGATGATGAATGTCTCTCCCCACCTCAAGCCGCATCTAGGTGGCTTCTCTTAGATCCTAGCTTGACAGGACACCTCCTAAGCTGCCCGGATTGTAGTTACCCTTTCTTTCCACAAGAGAGATTTATCCTATCAGAAGAGATTCATTAGCAGGGCTATTGTTTTTTCCTGGCTCTCAGAAGCACTGCTGGGTAAAATCTCTGCCTGATTTTAACCAGCTTCCTCTTGATCTAGTGAGGCGGGTTTACTCTAGCACTGCTCAGGCCAGCGTGCCATGCTATAACATGAGCTGGATGGCATAGCAACTCAGCTTTGAGAACTGGCCCCACTGTGTGATTTTTGCCTAGCTTGAGATCAGAGTTTGCTGGAGGATAGGCTAGAAGGAGCAGAGCAAAATATCCAGGCATTAGATGCTTGCAGATGTGGCACAGAGTTCCTTCCTTCCTGTCCCTGCTCTCGCCTCCTCTGCCTCTCCTCCCTCCCTCCCACCCACGGCAGTGCTGGGGAGTCCAAGGAGTGTTGGTGGGGAACCTCATACTGAAAGCAGGGCAGAAGAAGTCCTGAGTCACAAGCCGCTAGCAACCCAGCACCCTACAAACACGTTGAACTATTACTCCCAGTTTTTCTAAACATGCAAAAGAAAGCAATTAGGAGCAATCAGGAGTTGATCTACGAATAACGGGTGAAGAGTATATGAATGGGATTGGCAGTGGACAGGCAAATAAGTCGGGTTAAAGGATTGTGGCTTTCGGATTAACTGTTGTCCTCCTACCCTCCAGTGGATGCCCTCACAGAGAGAGTGACTTGGCACATAGTGCTTCAGACGATTTGCATCTACGCATTCCTCAAGTTCCTTCAGGGAGGAGGAGCTGGTAAGTTACCCTGTGAAAGTTATAAGATACATATGATGGGCTGAGAAAGTTGCTGTGGGGATGCCTGTCTTCCACCTTAACATCGGTACGAGATTTCATTAGTAACCTTTGTGCCCTTCAAGAAACATACCAGCTCAGCTTTACGGCCTAACTACATTTTTGAAATGGAAGTGGTTGAAGCTGAGGCAAACAGCTTTGGAACAAAAACATTTCTTCTGCTTCTCTTTCCTATGTAATATGTTGCAGACTGCAGTCAACAGGCGTGTGCCTCCTGACCATATTTAAACGTGCACAGTTGAAAGCTTTAAACACTTAACGTGCTCAGCCCCTGTGTAGCTCAAAGAATTTGTGGGGAAATATAAATTGATCATGCTGGCTGGAGAACTGTGGCTGATGCAAGACTTGGCCAAATGGGTTGGGGATTCTGAGCAACTGAAATCTACCATTTCTGACAGGCACCAGATTAGGGAAGAATTCTTCTTGTTCAGAGTATTGGGAGTGCAGTCAGGTTTTCATCTGAAACAAAAGCACATGCACTGAAAAAAAAAATACATGTGCTTGCTGTAGGAACAACTGGCTTCATTAGCAATGTGCGCACTTTTCTGTGGATCCGCGTGCAACAGTTCACCAGCCGCGAAGTCCAGGTAGAGCTCCTCCGGCATCTCCATAACCTGTCTCTTCGCTGGCACCTGGAGCGCAAGACAGGGGAGGTGTTACGCAGTGTTGACCGAGGCACTAGCAGCATCAACAACTTACTCAGGTATGTGGGATATGTCTGACTGGTGGGAATCCATCAGTGTTCAATGGCTGGCAGGGATTCCTGCAGTCAGCTCTTCTCCTCCTGACCCCAGCGGGGAGAGAGAAGTTTTGGAAGGGGCATTGTACACTGTGTGATCTTAGTTTCCCACCCTCTCATCCTACAGTTACATCATATTCAGCATCTTCCCCACCGTGGCTGATATTGTAATTGCTATTGTGTATTTCGCCATAACCTTCAGCGGCTGGTTCGGCCTCATCATCTTCCTCTGCATGAGCCTTTACCTCAGTGAGTGTTTTGATGCCAGGGGCAGCAGTGGGGGGGGGGGGCAGAGAAAGGTTTCCATTGTCTTCAGAATTAAGCCTATGGTACTGACCTAAGGGAACTGGGAATTATAATTTAATAAAAGCCTTCCTCTACTTAATGCTTTTTTTTTCTGATTAATGAAATTACAAGCCAGAATTTCCAGCCATGAAGGCCAACTGTCAGAATAGCTGGGTCCTCTGGAGTTACAGTGTCAAGATATTTGGAGGAGAGACTGTTTTAGAAATAGAGCAGATGACTCAGTCCTGATCCAGTTCCCAACTTAGATAATTAAAAGGGATTTTAACACTTTGCTCCTGCTGGGACACTGATCCAAATTGCTCTTTGAATAGGCGTTACATTGCTGAACAAGCAGGATCTCTTTTTAGCAAGATAAGTGACACCCAGGATGAAATACTTTGACCTTCAGCTGCCCTGAGAGGGAATTCTGTATCTCTTCTACTCCTCTCAGATCTCATAAACAAAGGAAGTGAAGCTATACTGGTAGTATGACAGACATACAGGCATCCTTTTTTTTGCTGTGATCTGACATAAAGTATCTTATGTAAATCTCAGACAATAAGCTAACTTTGCATTGAGATAGATTCAAGCTCTGGCCTATTGGAGACTAATTTAACACAGTAGGACTTAAAATAGGTATGTCTAATTGGTCTTGTTGATTCTGATGCGATTAAAATAGGGGTAAGTAATCCATGAGCAGCGTGTGGCCCATAAAGCCCCAAAAGTCACCAAGTAAAATGCTGAAAAATGAAGGGAAAACCAAATGAAATATAAGCTATAAGGTAACTAAAGTTGCTACAAAACTTAATCTCCATGAAATGCTCTTACGTCCTTGAATAATGTCATAATGTTGTTGGCCTGCCTGCTATGGAGTTCAGTATTTCTCTCCCCCAACCCCAAGGAATTTTCAAAACTTAGTCTTTCAGCCACCAACACTTTGCTCTCTTGGAGAAACATGAGAAATTTTCTTTTGGTCTAACCTTTAAATTAATTGTGTCACTGCAAATTATATGTATTAAGCATATTTGGTAGGCTTGCATGAAATCCTGCAGGAAGGCCCTGTTTAGCTACTCATTCCGAAATGGGAAATGGAAACAAAACGGGGGAAATGAACAAAATGGGAAGGGGAAAGGTTTTGTTCTTATCTTAAAATAAAAGTGTCCCATTCAGAATGCTTGTTTACAGTGCTTTAATGGATTTTCTTCATATAGGACAAAAGTCAAAAACCTTATGACTGTGCAAACATGGGAAACAATGAGAAATGCGAATGAAAGGTGCCCACGACTTTCTGTATTTCATCCAACAGTCACAAAAAAAGGTGCAGGAGTAGTTCATTGCTACTTGACCAGCAAATCTAAAACAAACTTGGCTCAAATTAAATCCCCATTTCACAAAACGGCATCCTTAGTGTGCCTTGCACAAACAACATGAGTGCAGCAACAAGTAGTGGCTACAATGCATTGGCTTCTGAATAGATCATAAAAGTAGAGCAACATCAAAAACAGACTTTTGGCCGGCAGTTTATGTCTGTTGCATATGCATGGAATACTTTTGCAATTGGCCATCTGCAATGCAAGTAACATAATTTTTGGAAATCTGTCCAAATTTTATTTATTTATTTATTTATTTTTCAAAATTTATAAGCCGTCCCACTCCCGAAAGACTCTGGGCGGCTAACAATAAAAACACATAAAACATAACAAAACAAACAGTACAGAGACAGTCATCCAGGGGTCAGTTTTTATAAACCCCAGGCCTGCCGGAAAAGCCAGGTCTTAAGTAGCTTACGGAAGACCAACAGGGTGGGAGCGGTCCTAATCTCCGGGGGAAGCTGATTCCAAAGCGTGGGCGCCATCACAGAGAAGGCCCTCCTCCGCGGCCCCGCCAAATGGCACTGCTTGACCGACGGGACCTGAAGGAGGCCCAGCCTGTGGGATCTAACCGGACGTAGGGAACTATGAGGTAGTAGGCGGTCTCGCAAATAGCCTGGCCCTGAGCCATATAGGGCTTTAAAGGTAATGACCAACACCTTGACTTGGACCCGGAGACCAATAGGCAACCAGTGCAGCTCACGGAGGATAGGTGTAACGTGGGTGTATCGAGGAGCACCCACTATCACTCGCGCAGCTGCATTCTGGACCAACTGTAGTCTCCGAATACTTTTTAAGGGTAGCCCCATGTAGAGCGCGTTGCAGTAGTCCAAAGGAAAAAAAATCAGGGACAATATCGTAACATTGACATTGACTTTCCCAGAGCAAATACCTTTTTAAAAATAAACAAGGAGCAATCTTTTTCTTGTCTAAAACCTTTTTTTTTTTTTTTAGAAAAGAAAGCAATCTTTTTCTGATCTTGTTACTTGCCCTCAGCCCCACCTTCTTTGCTGAACTGTCTCACACTATTGACTGCAGAAGTGGAACATTCCTGTTTTATTAATTAATATATTCTAAACATCCATAGTTATAGGGTTTTCTTTATTTAAAAAAATGTGGGATAAGTAAACACTCAGACAAAGTGAGACAAAATGTCTCATTTTCTCTTGAACTCAAGACAGAATTTGGGACAAAGGGATACCTATTTCAAGATCAGAACAATTTGTACATCCCTACATTGGAGATACCACTGCTTACTTCTTGTTCAGCTATCTTTATCAGGGTGAAAGAAATAATTTTAATTTTAAAAAACGCTTTTTCTTTTTGCCACTTTTTGAATAGTCTTGGTTATGAGTTGAAGTGGAAAGAATCAAAGATATCTCTGATAAGCCTGTGTGAATTTGCTATAGTGATAGTTGGCCTCTCTTTTTCCATGTAGCACTGACTATAATACTGACTGAGTGGCGAACAAAGTACCGCCGTGATATGAATCTTCGTGACAATGATGCCAAGTCTCGAGCTGTTGACTCACTTCTCAACTTTGAAACGGTACCTAGGGCCTCCACTTAACCATAATTGGTGGCTGGAAATAGGGAGTACAAGTAATTAGCAGAAAACCATTCTGGCTGACTTTTTCCCCTGCATTGCTTGAAATTGCTTCAGTTTCAGATTTTTGCTTAGAGGAGGAAGAGCTTTCCACTTTGATCTAACGCTCACCACCACCACCCCACCCGGGTTTAATGAATATTTCTTGTTTGTCAAGAGTTAACTGAGAATGAAAGTTGGGTGACTTAGAGTAGGGAACGTCATTTTTGTACTGACCGGTCCCTGGTTTGGTTTGTTGCAGGTGAAGTATTACAGTGCAGAGGACTATGAGGCTAGGCGCTTCAATGATGCCATTATGAAGTATCAGGTATAGAAGGATCTTTATGTAGTGTTTGGACTTGTTTCTTTCATGTCTGTTATAAAGCACTATTGAGGTTTTTTTGGTTAGTCTGTTTCCTTCAGTACCAGCAGAGATGGAGGTCTGTCTGTCTATCTATCTATCTATCTATCTATCTATCTATCTATCTATCTATCTATCTATCTATCCATCCATCCATCCATCCATCCATCCATCCATCCATCTTCATACTCCTATGTTTGTGTTCATACATGCAGTAATTTGGAAGGGAAAAAAATAGTTCCATTTTCTTGGGGAAAGATGTGGGAAGCGATGCACATAAGCATCTAGAAAAGGAATCAGTAAGAGCATCATAACAAGGGAGATTAAGACACGGCAAACCGGAGAGGTTTCCCGGGATTTTGTAACACTGACATGTTTGTTAAAGATTATTCCCTCCATCCGCTAGTAAATAGTAGGTAGTCCTCGACTTAACGATCACAGTTGAGCCCCAAATTTCAGTTCTTAAGTGAATGTTGCCTCATTTTATGACTTTCCTTGCCACCGTTGTTAAATGAATCCCCGCAGTTACGTTAAGTGAGTTGTTAAGCGAGTCTGGTTTTCCCATTGACTTTGTTTGTCAGAGGTTTCAAAAGGTGATCACATCACCCCAGGACATTGCAACCGTCATAAATATGAACCAGTTGCCAAGCAGCCGAATCTTGATCACATGACTACGGGGATGCTTCAGTGGTTGTAAGAGTGAAAAACCGTCATAAGCCACTTTTTTTCAGTGCCATTGTAACTTCGAACGATCACTAAACAAATGGTAGTAAGTCGAGGACTACCTTTAGCTGCTCAGATGCTGCCCAGAATGTCCAGACATAGTCAAGCAAAGCCATGGCAGGATTTTCTGTTGTGGAGAGACTCAGAAAGGCCCATTATAAGTTTAATTAGTTCTGTCCTATATATAGGAGAATCAGTATATCCAGAGAAGAGAAATATTCTAGAAAAGCATTGGTTGGCTGATCTAAATTGTCTTGTAGTAGGACGAAGAAAACATAACTTATCCGTTCCTGGATGCCTCATTGGTCTGTTATGTGGAGGCTAAACTAGAGGGTACAAATTCTGTTGAACAATTTCTGTGGAATGTAGAGTTTTTCAGGATTGCATCGTGCAGTTCTTGATTTTTATTTTTATTTTTCCCTTTTCTTTTGGTAGGTTGCAGAATGGAAAGTGAATGCATCTCTGGGCCTGCTAAATCAGACACAGAATCTGGTGATTGGTGTGGGGCTGCTGGCTGGATCCCTCCTGTGTGCTTCTTATGTGACTAAGAAAAAGCTCAATGTAAGTTCTCGCTGACTGCATGCTGTATGTGGTTTGGGTTTCTCTCTGTTCTTCTGAAACAAGAACCAGTCTACAACTCATCCTTACTGTTGGGGCCCTTCCAGATGAAGCATCAGGCTTTGTGAACGATTTGCCATGAGTTAAAAAAAAAAATTAGACCATTTCAATGCACCTTTACAAAACTTAGTAATGTTTTAGAAATTTCTGTAGTTGAACCCTGAGCTGTTCTACCTATTTCTACTTGCAAATGACATTTGCAAACTGGACGTTCATGAAATTTGCTACTGGAAATACAGCAGCTCTGGGTTTCTCTGCATAATACTTACTAGAAGTCTTGCAATGAGGTACAGAGCCTCATGAGAAGCAGGAAGACTCTAGTAATTAAATAAGTGGAAGAACTTGCCACACAAAAATGCGAAAGAAGTTGCTGAATGCAGTGGTGGGATTCAAATATGTGAACAACTGGTTCTCTGTGTGGATGCCGCTTCCGGAAGTCCATTCTGGGCCTGGGCAACAAAATATTAGCTACCGGTTCTGCCAAACTGGTGCGAACTGGCTGAATCCCACCACTGGCTGAATGTCTTTAAATTTAGTTGTGAGACATGATGACTGATGGAAAAAAGTCTTTGTAGTATTCTATAAACTACTGTTTTCTGAATTTAAGACAGTGAGATCTGAAGGTAGGTCTCTGGTCATGCTGAGAAAAATGGGTAGCCCAGGGTGGAGAAGATTAAAACAAAACCAACTGGAGAATTGGACCTCTGAGAACAAAAGCTATTGTAAACAAGTGGCCAAGCTGGAAAAGATTTGTCACTAATTAAAAGATCTAAACAGAAGAGTGGGGTGGGCCTCACCAAATGGGAGCTGGTTTCCACAAACATCAGAAGAAAGAGATCAGTATGTTTGGGGTTTGTACTCCAGATGTGAAAACAGATTCCCCACATGGAGTGCAATCTGAGGGACAGGAGGTACTTTTTAAAATCAGAGGAGGTAATGGCAAAGTAAAGCTATAAAAACGTAACATGGCTGGCACTTTCACATCTAAATTGAGGAAAAGGTGTCAAGTATGAATTACAGGCAAACAACTTGACTAAAGGCTAATTAAAACAAAATAAAAACCTGGGAATTACTGAACCACACTGCTCCAATTAATTTTTGCTGCAGGGAAATGCCGCAGGAATAACAGTTTCACCATCAGCCTAGTCTGAAACGTCATTTGGGGTTCCAGGAAGGAATTATTTTACTTTTCCTTCCCCTCTGAAAAGCATTAGTAAGTGGTTACTTCTCCTGTGCTTCTTCTGGGATCTGACCATTGACCATGCTGGGTTGGAGTTGCTTACAGCATCTGTCTTATTTACTTATTTGATAAATTATATAGCCGCTCATCTCACTTACATGACTCTAAGTAATGTACAAAGTTAAAAAGTCTTTACTTCCATGCATGAATAATTTTCAATCTGGTTTCCACTTGTGTTAGACTATAGCCTGAGGGTCACTGAAATTTTAATTTACACCTCAGCTCTAGAGGAAAATTCACATATTTCCTCTATTTTCCTCAAATTTCTTCACAGACAAAAGTAGCAAGCAGGAAAAAAGTTGCTAGCCTAAACTGTTGCCTAATATGAGACATATAAACCTCCATCTGCAATCTAAAAGATTTAGAACAGAAACATAAGGTTGATTTAACTGGTAAATAGCTTCCTTCCTTCCCTCCCTCCCTCCCTCTCTCCTTCCTTCCTTCCTTCCTTCCTTCCTTCCTTCCTTCTTTACTTAGGCTGCCATATGGATTTGAAGAAAGATAAGCAACGGAAATGTTTGTTTTATCCTTTTTCTTTCATATTTATCCGCATATGTATTGACAACAGATTGAGAGGTGTAGTTTTGATCATATATAGAAAGGCAATGCATTAAACTGCCCCAAATATGAAACTTGGTCCTTCAAATTAGTTCTGTGTTGGAACACACAGAAATCTACCATTTAATTGATGGGAGGAGAAGACAGAAAAACTGAGATATAGCTGGTTATTGTCATATAAGTTGAACTTTACCTTGATCTACAAAGAACTCAGCCTCTGAAGTTTTGCTCTGGACCTCTTACTTCAAGGCTGGATTAGTGGAAAATATGTAAGTCATCCTGTAATAGGCTTATACATTCAAAGGGGGGCTTATTTTTTTTTTAATGAACACAGCAGAAATGTATATATTTGCACATGGTTTCATCTCAGGTCAATCACTCTGCTTCAATAGAATATTTGATGTTTGAATTTCTATTCTCTGAACATAAATAGGACATTTTCTCTTGATTTTTTTAAAATGTTGAATATCTCAAACCTATAATCCTCTGCTTAAGTAACAAATGTCACTTTTGCTGAACAAAAGACAAGGGACGTAGAGCTAATAAGGCTCTTGGACACTTGATCTTCAGGATTCATCAGGTGAATCTGCATTTGAAAACTCCCCATTGGATGTATGGGAGGAACAATTGTTATTGCAAAAATGGATATATTCTTCCTATTTCCTCCAGGTAGGCGATTATGTTCTCTTTGGCACATACATTATTCAGCTGTATACTCCACTGAATTGGTTTGGCACATATTACAGGTAATTTCATTGCTAGGTTACTTTTCTGTATATTTATTAGCCATCTGGGGGTGATGCAAAGAGAAGTGGGTCTATGAACTTGGAGAGGTAAACTGGGTTTATACTGTTATTTGCTTTACAGCCTGCTCCAATCAGAGCAGCATATATTATTTCTCAGATTTCAATTTCCTTATAACAAGAAAAGAACTATTAATCCGAATCTAATAATAATACCTGTACCAGGAATAAACAGAACTGTCAACAGGGACCAGGTAAGATGAGCCCCTTAGACGAACGGTGTAAGAATTAAGGATGCGTTCAAGCTTTTTGTTTATTTGTTGACAAATTTATATAGCCACCCAGCTCAAAAAACAAGCAACTCTTGTTATGTTCACCCTGCTAAAAAAAAAACAAAAAACCCTTTCCAGCAAGGTTTCCCCACCATTACCCCAAAGACAAAAGCTGAACGAAAAATGTTGCTAATCTACTTCAGATTACCTGGCATTTGGTAGCAGTCTGTTTTTGTGCCCATCGTGACTCTTGTGAATAGCATTTGTCTAACACTTTTACAGAGACTGACAGCAAACAGAAATGTATCCATTTCTGAAATGCCTGACATAAAAGAGGAATTAATCTGGTTGCTGAAACACAGACTTATTTTAAAATTTAAGAACACAATAACAGAGTTTGTTAATCTTGTAGGAAAGGAAGCTCATCAGAATACAGTATATTGCAAGCAAGGTTGGATCCTTGCCTCGAGTTAAAAGACAATTAAATTAAGTACAAATGAATGTTTCCCTTGTATGCAATTTCATCTTTTTTACACTGGGCTCATTGTTTAATCAACATGAAGAAAAATCTTGATAATTAACAAAATATAAAGTTTGATAACTAGTTACCAAAAATTAGTTATTGAAAAGTAATCATGTCATAGAAAGGTATTAAGTAATATATTATGTTTTATTCAAGTACAAATATTTTCTTATATTAATTCCTTTTGCATGAATAATTCTACAAGTCCAGCAATGAAAGGAATTATCATTAAAATTTCTAATGACTAGAAAGCTGAGCTCAGACTTAAAAAATAAAATGCAGCTGTAGGAATTATATGTCTGTTTCATAAAAAAAAAGTTTGTTGCTTGTAATCATTTAAGTTGCCCTTGCCTTTACACTTCTTCCCATCAAAGATATTTTTAAAAGGTGTGAGATGATTTACTATGTGAACATGTGTTAAAGCTCTGGGAGTGGTGGGGTTCGTGTCCATGCTTAAGGTATAAAAGATTGCTGTATTTGAATATAAGTACTTGTCTGTTTCACTCTCTTTACTTTCCTGAAACCTTCATAACTTGGTTACTTTGGTGCAGTGGAGCTTCTGTTTTTTCTTTCCAGAATGATCCAGTCCTCATTTATTGACATGGAGAATATGTTTGAGCTCTTCAGTGAGGAACAGGAGGTAAGGCAGATCATACCTGTGGAGAATCTGTGCATCAGATTATAGCGGAACAGCTTATTTTCCCTTCCTTGTGCATTGTAACCCATAGATCAAGGGTAGGCAACCTTGGCTCTTTTATGACTCGTGGACTTCAACTCCCAGAATTCCTGAGCCAGCATGGCTAAGCTTGGAAACCTCTCCCTTTTCCCTCAGCACGGCTGGCTCAGGAATTCTGGGAATTGAAGTCCACGAGTCATAAAAGAGCCAAGGTTGCCTACCCCTACCATAGATTATAAACTACAGGTAATTGTTGCTTAATGACCCTATCTGGGACTGGAATTTCTGTCACTAAATAAAGCAGTCCTTAAAGACAACCCATGATGGCACTACTTAGCGATGGCAGTTTAATTTAGCCTTTCCCAACCTGATGCCATTCAGCTGCTTTGGGATTACATTCCAAAAAGTGGCCTGAACCTCCTAGTTGACAGTTCTAGGAGCTGGAAGTCTCTGCATCAATGATGGACACAAATTGGAAAGAACTTGATTAATTTTCAGGATGTACCTTAGTTTGGCCGCTATCGTAGCTATTTTTTTTTAATAGCCAGATTTGAGTTGGCCAGGAGCCAAATTTTCCATTTTCCATTTTCAGACTGATAATTTTTAATCATGAGATATGTTGGCAATGAGATGTGATTAGAATCTCTAACTGACCCTCTCCAATGTGTGTCTCTGGAACGTACAAATGTGAGGTTACAGATCAGACTTTTGTACTGTGGTGGCAACTGTCCAGGACTTCCAGAAGAAACCTTTGTTATCATCTGCTATCTAGCTTTTATTATTGGAACTGCTACGAACTGAATTTTGTGCTGGAAAAACAAGTGCTCTACCTCAGGAATGGCATTTCTGTACTATAAATGGCTTCCAAGAGCAACTTCTTGGTCACTGAGGCAAATCTTCCTTCCTCTGCCAACTTAGCTAGTCAGGATCTTAATGGATATTACGGATGTGTTAACTTGTAGGTGAAGGACAAACCGGGGGCTGGAGATCTTCGATTTCTTGCAGGACGTGTGGAATTTGAAAATGTCCATTTTGGCTACACAGAAGGGTAAGTAGAGAAGGAAAAAGTATTGATGATAACAATGGTGCATGTTAAATCTGAGAAAGAAGGGTTGAACAACATAGGATAGTGGTGGTGAAAATGTGAGTCTCATTAAAGCTTTCCATCTCTGGATGAGATAAAAGCTCAGTAAGAAACATGTTTTGTATCTCCCTTCTGAATTATGACAAGTGAGAAAGATAGGGACCTTTCCTGAAAGTTGTTTGGGGAATTAGTAAAGTAGTTCAAAAACCTTTCTTTTATCTGTCTCTTAAAACCCTCTTCACCTAGGTTGCTTCTGTGGAGCAACCACGGTCATTGTTCTTCAAACTATTCTGCAAACTGGAGGAAGTCTGTATCTGGAACAGAGGAGGGCATCGTGGGTGGGAGGTCTCACCAGGTTGCTTCAGGAAAGCAGTGAAGTTTGAAAGATGGGTGACTGCTCTCTTTTGTTGTTCTCCACACAGAAAGGAAATTTTACACGATGTTTCCTTTACCGCAATGCCTGGACAAACTGTAGCACTGGTAAGGAGTTAGAAATGGCTCTGCTGTAAGCAATTATCTACTGTAATTGTACAGTACTTTCTTTTGTCTCCCATCTGATAAGAATAGTGACAGGCCCTAAACAAGGGGCCAAAAACAAATGCTGAAACTTTAGCCTCCCTACTTTCCATTTCTTCCCATAGGGACACTTTGCTCTCTCTCCCTTTCTCTCCAGGTGGGACCCTCGGGATCAGGAAAAAGTACCATTGTCCGCCTGCTATTCCGCTTTTATGATGTGTGGGGAGGCTGCATACGAATAGATGGACAGGATATCTCTAAGGTAACAAACCCACTGGGAAGTATTGATAATAGAAGGCTCTTCCATCGTGGATGAAGGCATGGAGAAGGTTCATTTAAAAGGCAGTGGGGTGGGAGGAGGATGGGAAGTATATCCCCAAATATTGTCTAGATAAATTGCGAGTTTCAGCCTAACCTTACATACCATGGCTTCTATGCACTTCTTTGCATTACTGTGTTGGGACCAGTCAGCAGAGGAATATAGCTAAATATGTCCTTCTGGGATCTCTAGTGAGACTGGTGTTTTTAACTGATCAGGACTCTTGGTACACCAAATTATTTGAGATGATTAAAGCAATTGGAGATTTTGAAGAATTTTTACATCAAAATGCTAATTGAACAGCTAGGAAATACCATGAAATGTTAGGATAAAAAGATTTGAGGGTGAAAAAAAAATCTGCTCTGACGGCACAAATGTAAAGAAATACCATCTGTCAGAGGAAAACAAGCCTAAGTACTGAGGAGTTTTTGATCACACAAAAGGGATAGCCTAGGAGCAGTTTAAAGTCGGGGATATGAGACACAAGAATTGTTTCTTTGACAAGAATTTGTTTGCAAGAAAGTTATATAGATAGTTTAATCTCTCACATGCATTCTGTATATGTGAAGTCAAAGTAAAAATAGGGGAATATTTTGGTTACCCATGCTTTATGGTCCAGAAGATGAATGGCTGTACAACTGAAAAACTGGCTCTCCAGAAAACTAAAACTCCGAGTGGCCCTATCCAGTGGCAGAGGATGCCAGGAGTTGTGTATCAACAATACCCTGAGGTCCAGAGGTGCCATACCTCTGCTGTACAGTGTGATCCCAAAGATAGAACCAAGTTGGAATAACCTTTTGCATGTGTTATATACTCTTATGCTTCTCCTCTCAGAGCTCCTCAAGACTTAATGACACAACCCAGCTGCTTAATTGCTTGTTCACGTTTATTGCCACAGCAACAGACATATGATTCCATTTAAAGGTAGATTAAAGGTTTGTGCTCAGCAGGCCTCCACTTCTCCTGTGGCCACCCAAGCTCACTGGGAAAGGACTACGGGGTATCTGAGGGAGATTGTTAGATGGCCCTTAGTCTTTGGGAGATCAGCGTGGGAGGGTATCACAGGACAGCTGGCTCTTTCATGTCTGCTAGAGCGGTTTGGTGTCTGTTCTTATTATTCTGATTCTACAAATCCATCCTCTTAATTTTCTCTCCATTACTCCCTGTGGTTATACCTTTCCTTAAGGATCTATCTCATTTATCAGATTTGTTGTGGTTACTGGAATCAATGTCTAGGAAGCAGTGGGATGAGATATGGATAAAATGGCATCTAGAAATAGTTGAGGCAGGTTAAAAGATGCATAATTTCCTACAGTGTACATGTTCACAACACAGTGTCCCACGGGCATTTTTTTAAATCTTGCTAGTCAAACCATTTTCCAGAGAATTTGTCATATAATAATGAAACTCCCCAGAGAGGATTGAGCCTGTCCAGTGTCCATTATTTGGGATGGCTTCTGGTTTAAAGTGCCTGCAGTAGATAGGAAAACAGCAGCGTTCCTTTGTTTTCTGCCTCCCCTTGTATTCATCAAGGTGACTTAAAAAAGTTGAGCTACTGCCCGGAAGGTTATTATGAAGCTGGGCTGAGACAATAGTCATACAATGCATTCTGCAAGGTGAGAACGTTAAGGCTTGAAGTATTCAAAGAAATGTTCAGGTTATCTTAAGCGGGGCTTACTGCAAAACAGGTACCTTTCAGATAGATTGGACCTTCACTTTCAGCCCATAAAAAGAGTACGTGGTTGGGGAAGGCTGCTTTGAAATGCCAACTCTCTGAATTGTACTCTGGGCTTTCTGAATTGGTGTCATTTGGGCTTCCCTCGCCTCAGTGCAGAATGGGAAGCCCTGATAAATCATAGTGACTTTAGCCTTTGTCCTGAAGCTAACTATCCATCAGACTGGTGGGTGTGTGACAATGGCATCTATATTCTAAGCCATAACCTAGGTCAGGGGTAGACAACCTTGGCTCTTTTATGACTCGTGGACTTCAACTCCCAGAATTCCTGAGCCAGCAGGCTCAGGAATTCTGGGAGTTGAAGTCCACAAGTCATAAAAGAGCCAAGGTTGTCTACCCCTGACCTAGGTGAATTGTACAGTTTCTCACTTCACCTTCCATCTGCTCACATCCACAGGCAAAGCAGGTCTCCGTGCGTTCCCATATTGGTGTAGTGCCTCAGGACACTGTCCTTTTCAATGATACCATTTGCAACAACATCCGATATGGTCGTATTGATGCTACCGATGAAGAGGTTATGGAGGCTGCCATGACTGCTAATATCCATGATCGTATCCTCACATTCCCTGATGGTAAGGACTACCTCTACTTTATCTACCAGTTTGCCATAAAGCTTGTATTCCACCCACTGCACTGTTGTGTGAGATCTCATGTGATTATCCTGGGATGGTCTGCTTGATAGTCGAGTACAGGACTCAGATTCACTCCTTAATTTCTGCAGATGGGAAAGATTCCAAACAAGCCATTGACAAGTCTGTAGGCCTGTGCAAATAGTAGCAATCTACATTTTGAGATGCTGTGCGGTGGGGGAGCAGGACTGTTCTTGATCTGTGTGGATCAGTAATCTGATTTGGCACTCCCTTTGTTCTTAGCTGAACTAATCTAAATGAGCCTTTATTATTTATTTATTTATTTATTTGACTTGTACATCATCTAAATGCCGTCAACTTTGAGTGGCTCACAAAATAAAAACCAACAACAATATTCAATCCAGTTAAAAAACAATGAATAAGTTGGCGAACTCAGTCAATGTGTAAATTCCACAAGGTGCTCTAACTATCCCAGCCTAAAACCAAAAGCTTGAGAGAAGAACCAGGTCTTTTAAGACCATCCAGAATACCATCAGGGTGGGTGTTACTCTGATCTCCAGAGAAATTCGTTCCAGAGGGCAGACACTGCAGTAGAGATGGCAGGCTTTCAGATCCTGTTAAGTGGTGCCATTTGTTCAAAGGAACCCACAGCATGCCAGCCCTGTTGGATTGAACCAGTTGAGTAGATAATAGGAGAGACAGGTGGTCCTTCAAGTAACCAGGCTTTGTGTGTTGAACAGTAATTCTTATTATTTTTATCCAGCCCATTTTCTGTGGGTATGGATGTTGTGGGTTGGCTTATCTGAGAAGTCAGATGGGAAAAGTTGACCAACAGTTACCAAAATTGAGGGGCCTCACCCTATCCCACCAGTCCTCTAAGACCAATTGATGAATGACATCTTGACTAGTGAAAGAAATGAGATTAGCCTCTATGTCCCAGTTTGCAAAGCCATCCCAATTTTTAAGAGTATCTACTGCAACACCAAATATTCTTTTTTAGTAAATCTGGATGGTGCTACTACTGCTAGAAATAGCCATAAAGATTTAAAATGCTCTGCCAATGATAGGTAGGTAGGTAGGTAGGTAGGTAAGTAGATAGAGAGATAGAGATAGAGATTTAGACAGACAGATAACCTTTATTGTCATTTTTTACTGCGGGCACAATGGCACACATTAAAAATGAAATTTAGTTGCTTGCTCTCAAAGTGTACACGTACAAAATTAGCAGAAAGCAGCAATTTGTATCTCAATGGCCTTCCTTTTTTACATAATGTTTTACTTTCCCCTGTGCTTATGCCTGAAAGGTTATGATACGCAGGTTGGTGAGCGAGGTCTGAAGCTGAGTGGTGGGGAAAAACAGCGAGTTGCTATTGCCCGCACTATCTTGAAGAACCCTGACATCATCTTATTTGATGAGGTAACCGAGGAGAAGTATTATCTTAATATCTGTCTCAGTCCCAGAGAGGGCCCATCCATTCATTAGAGCAGGGCTTTTCAACCTTTTCACCCATTGTGCTACTTTTAGGATATGGCAATATCCGAGTACCACCAGTCGCCTAGCAAGGTGTCAAAAACTTGATGACCCCCCCCAAAAAGGAAAAAAGTGATAAAGTACAGGTAGTCCTCAACTTACAACAGTTCGCTTAGTGACTTTTCGAAGTTACAATGGCACTGAAAAAAGTGCCCCCCAAGGCACAGCCGAGCAAGACACCTGCCTGCCCGCCCAGCGGCGCTCTCATTCCCCTCCCCCACTACCACTTTTCTAGGATGGTCGCGGACCACCTGTCAGGTGCCAATGTACCAGAGGTGGTACCCGTACCACTGGTTGAACAGCCCTGCATTAGAGAGAACAACCTATTAGATATGGAATATTTGCTGAGGGGGGAGGGGAAAACAGAAGAATCAAGTTTAATATCCCATGGAGATGCCTAGAAAAGCACACGATTGGCTGGAATCCTGGCTAGAAGCATTCCACATTGCAACCATGTGTGTGGCAAGTATACAAGTAATCTTTGAGTTACAACAGTAATGAAGCCTGTCCATCATGATTGTAACTCATGATGATCACCCACATGACTGATTTTATGATCTTTTTTGCAACAGGCATTAAACAAGCACCACAGTCATTAAGTGAACCAGTGCTTCATTATGAGCATGGTTTTGCTGAAAACCAGAAGTAAATGCTGGGTTTGGGGTTGTTGTTTTTTGCAAAACCAATGTAAAAGGTTACATGACCAGGATGCTGCAAACAGTCATCAATGTGGCCCTGTTGCTGAGGACCCAAAGTGCGGTCGTGATGGGAGTGGGGGCAACCCTCAGAATTTTAAATTTGGATCATAGGTACTTCCAGGAAGGTCCTTCATAACTTTGGAAGGTCGCTAAGGGACTGGTCATAAATCAAGTATTACTTGTACTTTTATCTATTTGTTTCCCACATCCAAGTTACATTTGCATTTTACCCTTCCATGCTTTTTTTTTTAAACAAAGCCTGAATCGTGGGAACATTTGGGAGGAGGATAATATCACAAATTCTATCTTTACAACTATGTTTCTCTTCCCTGTTCCCCACACCATTTATAACCTGTTCCTGAGTACTTCTCCCCACAATAACAATAGTATAGAACAGCAGTTCTCAACCTATAGGTTGCGACCCCATTTGGGGTCGATCGACCATTTCACGGGAGTCGCCAAGCAAGGCTGTCTGCCATTTTTTTCCCCTTTTCCGGCGGGTGCCTTACCTCCCTTGGGCTGGGCCAGCTGGTGGCCCAGCCGGTGGTCGGCCTGCTCTGTCTCTGCCGCTTGCCAGCTACGCCTCGGCTGGCGCAGGGGGTGGCACCACGCATGCGTGGCGCTCCCAGGCAGGGAAAGTCCTCGACTTATGACTGGTTTAGTCCTCAACTTACGACCGGTTTAGTCCTCGACTTACAACCGGTTGGGGGTCGCGGCATTAAAAAGGTTGAGAACCAATGGTGTAGAACTACAAAGAGCATCTCTCAGCCCTTTACCATGGTACCAAAACAATATGGGTTGCTTATAGGTACTAATATGCCAGTGACTTGACACTAAAAGGAGGTTCAGAGTCCATTACCTTCCTGTATATCCCCCCCCTTTGCTCTGCTACAATGTGCTGACTCTTACAGGCAACATCAGCACTGGACACTAAAACGGAGAGAACAATCCAGTCATCGCTAGCTAAAGTATGTGCCAATCGCACCACCATTATTGTGGCTCACAGGTAAGATGAATTTTAAATAAGAGGTTTTAAGCATAATCCTTGTCCTGGCTCAAGCAAAAGAGATTGTTGCTAGTTATTACTTGATACAGGCAGAACAACTCCATGGACGAATCATGCAAATTACTTTATTCAACAGGCATCCTCAAGTCAATCACTTACAATTACTGTAGAGATTCTTCTGGAATGTAGGTTGTAATTTAGACCCATCGCATAGGTAAAAGGAAAATAATTTCTCCATTCTAACGGAGCTACCAGGCCTCGTGGCTAGGATTCATGGAGAGATTGCAGACTGGCACGTAATCAGGATATCCCGTAATAAAACACAAGACCCTCCCAGTGGCCAATCTTAACACAGATATAACCAGGTAACATAAACTACATTACCCAGAAGGCTATCGCTTAAGGGAACAGTTCTTAATTCCTAAGATAGCTATATACTTTGACCAGATGGCTATATACTCTAACCAGCACAATCCTAGCTAAAGGAAAACTGTTCCCGTTCCACAAAGAGGGTCAAACGCTTGCCTTGACTTTTGTACTTGTTTCTATCGATTCTTATTCAGTTTGATGAATAAGAATTTTCTTTAGAATCTTTGTCAAAGGGGAAGAGAATTTTAGAGAATTTTTCATAAATGGAACGTGACCGTTTGAATTATATGTATCCAAGAGATATGTGCAGGTGTCTGCTTTCTATTTTACCTTTTTCCTATATTACGATTAGATTCCAGAGCATCTGGACAGGGCATCGCAGAGGAATTTCCCTCAGGGATGAGTCCTGCCCTTAAGAAACGCAGTTTAGCAGAGAATTGCCAAAGCCCCCTTATATTGAGTTGTATTCTTTTGCTTTGTTGCATCCTATATCACAGGAAATCACCAGGTAATCTCTGGTGATTTCCTTGGCTTTTCACCAATTTGCTGCTACTCTCTCCTTTTCCCGAGATATTAGTCATGATGGTTATGAAGGCAAAAATTATAGATAGTCAGGGCTCACCCCTGAATGCTGTTACATGTGGCTGAATTAGCACCATAGGATCTGGAATGGCTAGAAATCCAATAGAGTTCTGGACATTTTAAGATAGCTTTGCTCAGTGCTTTTTTTGTAAGAAAAAAGGTGCCGGAACTCACATCTTGTTAATCTTTTATTTAAAAATAAATATATATATTCAGTTCTTAGCAGGACCAGTAGTTGAGAAGTAATTAATTTTTTTTTTCATTTTTAAATTTGGGGTCACACTTTTACACTAAAAATTTAAAAAAGATTTTCAATTCACCAACGATTTTTTTAAAATAAAGAAATAGTCAATAACTGTACACACACCCACACGTCAGATGTGTAACGAAACATAACAGTCGCCCCCCCGCAGTAAGCACTCAGTGCCAACAACCAATCACAAGCCGAGCAGCGCCATCACAACCAGCATGGATAAAGTACGCATGTATCAGACTCGTCACACAAGCAGCCCGCATGCACCGTTTTAATGATTTTGCCACTGATCGCTTGACAGGGCGATTCAAGTCCATGTGGACTAAACATCAAATTTTCAAAAATTACTTTTAAAATGTGGAAAATCCATCAAAAAAAGGTGCTGGAACTCTGTTCTGGTGTGTTCTATGACAAAAAAAACCACTGGCTTTGCTGAATTAATATTCTACTCATTACATACATCACACACTGAGTTGTGGTGATGCAGTGGTTAATACTGCAGGCTAACTTTGCCCACTGCTAGGAGTTCAGTCCTGAGCAGTTCAAGATTAACTCAGCTTTCCATCCTCCGAAGGTCAGTAAAATAAAGACCCAGGTTGTTGGGGGCAATATGCTGATTCTGTAAACCACTTAGAGAGGGCTGTAAAGCACTGTGAAGCAGTATATAAGTGCTATTGTTGTTGCTATGTTGTACATCTACTACTCTTAAAAACATTTTGTGATGGTATCATCCTTGTATAGTTCTTTCCCCAGAGACAGATTATATCTGAGAAGACAACCTGTGTACATGTCATGTATTGTGTGTTATTGACAGTTGTCAAACTTTACACACTGGTTTCTAAGTAGTAATAATTGTTTGTCCTTTATAGGTTATCAACCATAGTTAAGGCTGATCAAATTCTTGTTATCCGAGATGGCCATGTGGTAGAGCGTGGAAGGTAAACAAATGTAAAAAAACTCAAGAGATTTAAAGAGACCATAACAAACGCTTTTCTTGTGTTTAGAAAGCCAATTCTTAGGAAAGGAGGAAGTGAACCCCTGTATCAGGGGTGTCAAACTGCCAGCCCGCGGGCCGGATGTGTCACGAGGAAACCACGCCCACCCCATTGCCAGCAATGGGAGGAAAGTCGCGAGTTTGACATGTCTGCCCTATATTCTCCCCACCAAACAAGTATTAACAGAAGTGTGGATTTCCCCATTTTCAAGCCCAGTTTAAAATAAACAGTGGAATCATGGCAACAGGACAATGATTATTGTTGCTTCTAATACTACCATAGGTTACTTTGCCAGAAGGTTAGTTTGAGACAGTCAAATCAGAAGTGGAGTATTAGCCCCAAAATGCAAATTATAAGTCAACCCTGCTCAGCACAATCCTTATTTATCCCCCATCCCCATCATGGTGCTATTTTCTGGGCATTGATTCCCCCCCCCACACACACACACGCATACTTCAATAGAGGCCGCAAGTGAAATCTACTTGGTGGGATTTTTCCATGTGAAAATCTCCTTCTGAAGCCCCAATATGTGGATCAGTTTCAGTCTATCAAAGGACCCCCCCCCTGCCTCTTTTTGCACTGACAGCAACCGGAGAGGTAAAAGATCTGCACTTGTCTGGGTGGAAGGAGGGGAGGGGAGAAGCAGGGCAGGGTGCAGAGAAGAGAGCTGCCTTTCCCTTCCCTGCCCTTTGCTCTCCAGAGACCAGTAAGTGCAGATAATTGCTATCCCCACGTGAGGGCAGTGACTTTACTGGCCTCATTCCCAAGGCAAGGTGAGAGGATTGCTCCAAGAGGCAGTGATTTTCATTCTGACATAACTTCCTCTTATTCCAAGGATGGAGAAGAGTACTGTACAAGCTCGGGGGGGGGGGAGGTTGAGCCCTTCTTGTAACTCCCTAGATTTCCTGCTTATCCCCTCCGTCACCAAACCTGCTGACAAATTTCCAGACTGGGAAAGCTGTCACAGCTTGGGACAAAAGGACGGGCTTTACAGGAGGGTAGCGTGCTGTGTGGTATGGACACGTGACACAGTGTGGGGAAAGTTCCACTGGGAAAGTCCAGAGCAACGTAAGCGAGGGGGCGTGTGCTCTCTGTGGAGCCCTTCAAATTAACTTTTGCTGCATTTTGCAGGCATGAGCAACTGCTCAAGAAAGGGGGCCTCTACTCTAACATGTGGGCCCAACAAGGAAGTGAGATACCTAGTGGCTCAGACATGGACAGCAAGGTCAGCCTATCGAAAGCTGGCCCTGAGGAATTAGGCAGCGTGGAGGGTGAGCCTGAGGCTAAACCTGAACCCGAAACTCAAGAGGAACCCGAAACTCAGGAGGAACCCGAAACTCAGGAGGAACCTGAAACTCAAGATGAACCTGAACCTCAGGGTGAACCTGAAGAGGAGGAGGAGGAATCATAGCCCAGCAACTTAAAAGAACCACTGAAGGTCTCCTGCGCGATGGAGCCTGAAGCTAAAGAGGGGGCTGCTACCTTACCCTGGACATTTGTGATGGCTTCTCACACAATGGGAAAGCCCTGGCCTCTAGAACATTTAGCAGATCCACCAAGGTGGTCATGGAAATCAAATTTAGAGGAAGCATAGACTCTATTACTCTTAGCCTGCTCATAGCAATGGGACAACAAAGAGTTGTCCTACAAGCTGCTGCCAGGTGCAAAATATGTTGCTTGGTGGTCCAGACTTGTTGTCAGTGAAGGGGAGAGGCGGGGACCAGGGCCATTTTGCCCTACCACCGTCATCACTGGCAAATGTCTTCCTTCGCAAGATGAGCTGGGTAGGTGGGGAGAGGAAAACACTTACAGCGGTAGGTATTGCCAGCGTTGTGTATGGAACCAGAGGAAGCCTCAGGGAAAAGAGGCGCATTTTCGTAAGTTCTGATTTTGAAATGTCTGTTTGATTTTCATAAACTCTTTTCGGATCAATTTGCAGATTGCATTTATTTCAGTCTCGCTGGTTAAAAAGAAAGGACTTAGTAGTAACTGACTGAAAGCCCTTGTTCGGCTATTGTGCTGGTGAGTAGAGCCGGATTCATAAAGTGCCAGTCTTACTAATAATTATGAATCTGATTTTTATTTATATCTGGCAGTAATAAAATTATCAAGGCAAGGGCAGAAATTCACTGTGGGTGGAAATGGTAGGATAGGGAAAGATGAAATACGCCTTTTCACCTTTACTAGCTGTATGGGGAATTGACAATTATTATTTACTTGGGGCCCTATAGCAGAGGAAGGTAATATTGGCCTGAGTGAGCAGAATGCTAGAGAGCCTACACAGAGCCTGGTTACTTGAAGGACCACCTGTCTCTCCTATTATCTGTTCCACTGGTTCAATCCAACAGGGCTGGCATGCTGTGGGTTCCTTCGAACAAATGGCACCACTTAACGGAACCTGAAAGCCTGCCATCTCTACTGTTGGCCACCGGGCTGCAGGACAGGCTGGCCAGTGCCCACACTCACCCCCACTCACGCTAGCACGTGTCCATGCAAAAATGGGGCATAGCGCAGCACCAACATGGGGCATGGCATGGTGCAAAAAAGGTGTGACATGGCATGAAAATGGCAGGGCTAACAACCTCAGGGATGCTAGCACCGCACTGTTTGCACGCATGTGCGCATAAAATGCTTCTCCCTCCCTTTCCCTCCGGTACACCAACCAAGAAAGGTTGGGGACCTCTGTTCTAATCCAACCCCCTACTCAGGCAGGAGACCTTATACCATTTCAGACAAATGGTTGTCCAATCTCTTCTTAAAAACCTTTGGTGTTGGAGCACCCACAACTTCTGGAGACAAGTTGTTCCACTGATTTAATTGTTCTAACTGTCAGGAAGTTTCTCCTTAGTTCTAGGTTGCTTCTCTCCTTGATTAGTTTCCATCCGTTGCTTCTTGTCCTGCTATCATTACACTTTCGAGAATAGGTTGACTCTCTTCTTTGTGGCAGCCCCTTAAAATGAGATTGAAGTATCAGACTCATGTTGCAAAAATCAAGATAGTCACTAGATGGAAGCAAAAGGATATGAAACCATTTAACTTTTTTGTTATCTATTGGTCTGCAACCCACATCCAGTAGCCCTATTTGTTGAATCATAAAAGTGCATGATAATCAATTGAAGGGACAAATGCAAGGGAGCTGTTAGAAAAGTCCAGTGAAAACAGGTTGGTGATTTCACTTGTTAAGCTTCTCTGCTTATAGTAAGCAGATTTTGAAAACCAAAGGATTTTTGGATGAGGGAAGAAAAAAAAATGTTTTCTGATGATGTTAGGCGTACGATTCCTTAGTTATACCTTAAATCGTATTCTTTGTATGAGACACTAAGAAAGACTCAAATAAGCCGTATGACAGCTTAGCATGTCTAAACCAGGCCACTGATTTGTACGAGGAGCTGTGATCAGTTGTTCTATGGGAAAATTGGTAATAAATAGCAGCCTCCTACTAACCTTTTCTCCTAAAGTACAGGTAGACTTTGCTTAACCACCACAGTGGAGGCTGACAACTCCATCAACTAAGCGGCGTGGGCATTAAGCAAGACATGTGAATGCAACTTGCAATTTTATTGCCAGTTTCTCCATTGACTCTGCTTATTGGAGAACTGAAGTGCAAAAAACAGCAGTCACTTAACTGGTTGAGAATGTGTGCCAGTTGTGAAGCGCTTGAATCTAGATCATGTGACTGCAGGAATGCTGCAAAGGTGGTTAAGTGCGAGGACCAGTTGTAAAGTTACTTCTTCAGCACTGTCATAATTTCATGTTTCCTAAACAGGGCGATTGTTAAGTGAGAACTATATGTATATCAGATTCCTTCCCCTTTCAAGTTTAATTATCCACGTGTGCTGTGTATATCTGTGTCTCTGTGTTTGAATTAGTCTTAATTGATGATTGCTTGGACAAATCCTTGTGTTGTTCTTTTTTTACTCAGAAGTAGTTTATCATTGCTTCTTTCTTAGGGCAGAGAGAGGGACTGGCCTAGTCACCCAGTTGGCTTCATGCTTAAGGCAGAACTCATGGTCTCCCAGTTTCTAGCCTGGTGACTTTAATTACTACCCAAAAGTGTCTTCTGCATGCACATTATAGGTAGTTCCCAAGCTATGAGCACAATTGGGACATAACAATGAATATTATAGGTAGTTCTTGATTTAGGAGCACAATTGGGAGTGGAATTTTGGTTGTAAGTCGTGCTCGTAAGTAGAGGCACCACATAACCGGACTTATATTTAAGAAAATTTGGGTGATAAGATAGCTTAAATTTCTGCAGCTGCAGTTATCAAAACAACAGAGAAATAATGGCTTCAGTTAGAAATTAATGAGCACACTTAGCTCATTAGGAATACATTGGATCACGATCATATCAGGATGATCCCAACGTCCAGCCCAAGTTCTTGACTCTTTCCGAAGCAGGAATAGGTAGCTGTGTTTCCTGAGGTTCTTTGCCAGATTCCCTTTGCAGTAGCAAGAGGGCATTCACCCACCCCTGTATTAATTCCAATGGTATTGGTGTCCATGTCAAGTAAACAGCCACAGTTGGAAACTGAGAACAGTGAGGGTTTTTTTTATTCAAGAGCTTGATTTTTTCAAAACTTGTTCTTCTCACCCGCTTCTGCCTCACCAGGATGCTCTGAGGATTATAGGAGAAAAATATGAGGGGGAAATTGATATATGGATGTGGTGGTGGTGAGATTCCTATACACAAGAGAGCAGTACATTTTGTACATTAGGGTAGATGCTTTACTCCTTTACACTTGTACTTTCTCCATTGGGGTAGATGTTTTACTCCTTTGCACTTGTATCTTCTCCACTGTGCATGGCCTACTCTCCCTAGCATTACTTGTTACCCTAGAGGTCTGTTTCCTACCCCTCCGCCCCACAAATATATTCTGACTTATAGCTGGAATCTTCCAGTCTCATCTCCCCACCTGTGTTCTAACATTTTCTCATCTCTCTTTATGTTTTAACAATATACAAGAACCAACACTGGCACATATGCTTCTCTTTTTTGCCTTGGAAACTTGAATTACTTTGTAGAGTCCGCTGTAGACAAATTACTTGGAGAGTTTCTCCCTACTATGGCAACATCCAGCAGCAGTATCATATCCACCCATTGGATGACTGTTGGTGTTCATTGCATCTGGGTCCCTCAAAGCCAAAAAAAAAAAAAACCTCCTTGGAGGAAAGAGCCTCTGGTTACAGAACAAGGCTCCGGGCCTTGTAGACACCCCCAAGACAGTGCAGACCATAATCAGTCATCCTGCTGTAGTTCCTGTTGGTGCCTACTCTGATACCACAACATGGTGGGAAGATTTTGGCAGCCCTGGTAGCGACGCTGGCGTTCTTCCTCTCCTAAGGGTGGCACAGAATGGCAAGGGGCTCCTGCTAATGTGACGTTGAGCAATTGGACTGGAGTACCAGAGGCGAAGACTGCAGACCACGAACCCACCTATAAAAACAGGAGAAACTGGTTTCACGATGGAGGGTAGTTGATAACCTCCAGAATCAATTCCACAGCCAGCGTTGCTGGCTGTGGAACTCTGGGAGTTGAAGTCCACATGCCTTAAAATTGTCAAGTTTGGGAAACACTGACCTAGTATATCGGGGGTATCAAACTGGCGGCCCGTGGGCTAGATGCGTCACATGCAGGCCCTGCCCACCCCAGCTCCGCAAAGGCAAAAAATGTCGCGATACATTGTGTGACGCAATCGAGTTTGACACCGCAAGTTTTGACACCCGTGTTTTATATCATCACTCTGTAAAGCTATTCAGTAAAGGAAAATCAGATCATCATAGGTTTTCATCAGCTTAAAGTTGTGCAGACTTCAAGAAAAAATTCCTTGTTTGGGAGCAGAACATTAATTGCACAAATTTCATTTATATCTTTTGGAAAAATTAGTTGCAACTTAAGTTACCACTGATTACAACTGAAGGTAGAGCAACTAAATGTAAGTCACTGAATTTAAACACTTATGGTTGACATACTTTTTCCAGTTAGGCATATCCAACATTTTAGCAGAACCTTAAAAAGTAACATGTAATAAACCCATGTTCTCCATCCAAATGAGCTCAAATTCTCCATCCAGTTCACATCAAAAGACTACTTTGCTGGCTATTTCTGCAGGCCTACCATTTATTATTTCTCTTCAAGGCAGAGATTCTGAAACCAGATGAACTATAACATTATGCTAAATGTAACCATTTTCAGAGGAGAGTATAACCATGGTTTACTACCGGATAGACATAACATGGGTTGGTTTGCAAAATTCAGTAAGCTAAAATATAATTAGCGTTTTGTTTGCAATAGTGGCGAATATCTGTAGCTTGGGTGCAGGATGAGGGTGAAGGTTCGTTCTCTGAGCTTGAGGGTCTGAACATTTGGTGTCAGTGTGGGTAGTAATTTGGGATTGTGGCATTTGACTGCTAGCCGGTGTTCGTGGATCCTGGTTTTTAATTGATGTGATGTTTGTCCCACGTAGAAGGGGTTGCAAATCTCTAACAGCTACCCATATGGACACCAAACAACAACAATTCAATTGGAGCCACACTAAAATCATCGGCCACACTACCACCCGCCACGCTCGTGGGTTCATCAAAGCCTGGCACTCCACAAGCAATTCCATTAACAGACATATTGATCTATAACCAGCATATGAACCCCTCAGAATCCAAATCAATCCAACTGCCATCTGGAGACAGCACCAACCCACAAGCCTCTCCCCCCCCCTAGCAGTTTATCTTCCAATGACCCTGACCTGATATAATCTCCCCATCACAGGACCTGTCACCAGCCTCCCACTGATGACTCACTCACTCCTGACCCACTAATTCACACCTTCCAACAACCCTGCCCTGAAGTACCTCCCCATCGCAAGCCTCTCTCTGATGACTCACACCTGGCCCATCACAAGACCCTCACTTGGCACTCCCACACCTGATGCCCCTATGTAAGTAGAACACTAACACAGACATCCACTAAATGCCGCTGAAGATATTGCCCAGCCTGGTAACAAAACTTTTGGAAACCAACCCTCAAGCTCAGAGAACGAACCTTCACTCTCATGAAGGTTCTCATGTGCAAGGCAAATATAGCTTGTATCTATTAACGTTGCCATTCAAGAGCACTTGACTATATACCCTAGAGACAGCATTCTTGTCAATCACTCATACATACAGCACATGCTGCTTCAAAAGAGATTAGTTTTCAGTTTCAGATGATCAGAAACCAGCTTATCTATACAGAAAAGGGTAACGTGCTGCAATGTGCCACTTTTCATTGTGCAAAGTAGCCGATTTACTCCAGAAGACAGATCTGTTCCCATCTTCCCCACTGTGTAGTTGGAAGAAAACTGTGGTTAGCCGCCCTGTTAACAATTCTATCCCAGTTGCTAAAAGCCATCCCGGGTGAAGTTCCTGTTGTAAAATCCCCTCCTTTAAGGAGATCTGTCTGGTGGGTCCAAGAAGAAGGGCCTTCTCTGTGGTGGTTCCCTCCCTGTGGAACATCATCTCTGCAGAAATGGTCCCCATTTTGACCTCTTTCAAAAGGCCCTGAAGACATGATTTTGCCAATAAGCAGGATGATACGGAGCCCACCAAGTAGTTGGTTTGATCATTGTTACCAGGAGGGTAAGGGTTATTAGGTTTTGTATTGTGGTTTTATTTCTGTAAGCCACCTGGAATCACTGTGATGAGTTGGGTGCCATACAAATTTTCTTAAATATTTATGTCCCTGTTTTAAAATTATCTTAAATTCCAACATTAATATTGGATTTTAATATTATTTTCATGGCTTTACGTTTTGTTTAGAATTGACAACCTTCTAAGACAGTGGTGGCGAACCTATGGCACAGATGCCAGAGGCGGCAGTCAGAGCCCTCTCTGTGGGCATGCACGCCGTCGCCCCAGTCCTAGGCCTTCAGCTGGGTTTTATAAAACCTTTTCACTTTAGGCCTCCGCCGCCATGTGCAAAAAAAAAAAAGGTTCAATAAATCAGTCAATTTCAACTTCTCATGGGAAAAAAAAATCTTGCAAAGTTGGAATTGATTGATTGAACTTTTTAGTCCCACCCAGTCTGCCGTTACCACAGCCACGCCCAGCCAATGGGCACGCCCAGCCAATGGGCCACACCCACCCGGCACTTGATGATACGTAAGTGGTTTTGGGTTGCAATTTGGGTACTCGGTCTCTAAAAGGTTTGCCATCACTGTTCTAAGAGATAACAACTTGTCAGAGCACATGCTTTGCATACCGGTAGTTAGAGAGCCCTTGTTTAAATCTTTGACATGCCTGCTTAAAAGAGACAGCAGATGGTGCAAAAGACTTCAGATCGAGCCTCTTATATTCTTATACCTATTAATGTCCTTACCGGCAAAGTATGCTGAAGTAGACACTGGTCAGGTTGCAGTCCTGCCCAGAATTCAGCAAGAGCTGAGCCACTTCGGAGGGCAGTGGTGCTATGTACCAACACTACATTGGGATGGCGCTGCGATGCCTGAAGCTTCTTTACCAATGGCCCTGGATAGCTCTGGTCAAGAAAGAGCAGGACCCGGTGGGCATTGCAGCTTTCCAAGTCAGTTAAGAGCTCTGAGATGGCGTACCGCTCCTTAGGATCAGCCTGTTGTGGGGGAAAGGGCAGCTCGTTAGCATAGATTCCTCTATCCCGGCTCCCCCACCTGAACTCTACGGTCCAGAGATCAAGGGAATTTTCCCACCCTGAAGTTAAAAGAAGCTGGATTAAGTTGGAAAGAGCAAGCTGGGGCCAGCACCCTCTGCAAAAGCTGCTGTTGCCTTTCTCCCTGCAGGCAAGGATGAAAGAGCTAGATGGGCCTTTGAAGGGGACAGATGAGAAGAGAGGGCTGAAGTCTACCTGCAAGTCTGTCAGCTTTTCCCTCCTGTTGGGTTGCCCAGAACATGTTGGGACAGGTGAGGATATCCCCTCCTCCTTCCACAAGCCCGATTCACTTCACTGTCCATTTCAGCCAATGAAACCTTCTCCACATGCAAATGGCCAAATGAAGACCTATCTAAGGACTTACTTATATAAGTTAATGATGAGAGAGGAGCTTGGCTTAGCTGCAAAAATCATTCCTCATAAGAGCTAGGTGGCAGGCTAAATCACTTCTTTATGGCCTAAGTGGCTTCAAACAGCCATTTCTTGTTTTCAATGTGGATCCACCCCACCAATCAATTCCCACCAGACCCTACTCACAATGCCATTATGGTTAGCATCCCACAAGAACATGGTGCCATCACTGGAAGCTGGACTGTTGAGGTAGAGTACCAGAGTGTCAGCACAGTGCAAGCTACGGCAGATAAGTGCCAAGTGGGACCGGATTACCAACTTCTCTGTGGCTGGTTGCACATTTCCCATCTCCACTGCAGAAAGAAGATGGGGAAGGGCCAGCTGACATTACTCTTGGTTGGTGTTTTCCCACCCAATTCCTCCCATTATCTATTCTATTTACAACTCTAATTTCCAAGGGTCATTCATGCCTCCTTTGTGGAAAAGACCTATTGATCCAATGGTTGTCTTCTCAAAGACATGCCATCTGGAGCCGATTGTAGGTTGATTATGGTACTGATAATATACCTTTCAGTGGCCATGGGGAAGTGGAATTTGGAAATGCAAGAACTGATTTGGAATCCTGATGGTAATTAGTGAGAAGTTGTATCTCCATGTGAGTGAGTATGTATTTGTATAGTAAACTGACAGAAAACTGTGAGCAGCATCACAGAATAACAGCCACAGTTACTACAACATTGGACTTCCAGTTTCCCAACTTTGCTAAACTCTGTGTTTCCAGACTGGGACTGCAAAGCTACCTCCACATCCACAGATGATCCACCCAAGAGTGTCTTCTTCGAATCCAAAGGGCTACTGTATGCATGGTGGGAAGGAGAGGAGGAGGAAGGGGAAGGAGATACAACTGCTGTTGAAAAACAGGGGCTCCCTATCTCAGAACACACCACAAACATGGTTAACACCGAGAAGCTCTCCTTTCCGTCGATCCCACTCCCCTCCACATTAGAACAAGGGACTTTCTCACCCCTTCTAGCTCACTTGTTTTAGTACCTGAAGCCTGTCCCTCATTGGCAAAGAAAGCCTTGATATGCTCTTGGCGGAAACCATTTCGTCGAAGCATCTGGTAGAAAAGCAACAGGTTCTGGGCATGGTGGGGATAGGTGACCTGCTCCTGCCAGCCACCTGGAAGAGAATGACTGTCAATACTAAGCACCTTAAGCTAACATGCGTCAAAACAATACAAGAGTTCCTATAGTCCCTGCCTGTATTCATCCTTCTTCAAAAGAATCTCGCTACTAATTCTAAATGGGAATGAGCACCTCTTAGTAGCTCCCCAGCCCCACTCCACACCTGCAATCAGTACTGCATGATCACATGTCTGATACATGCGGCACAATTTGTACATCGGAGCCTGCTGGCGATGACACCGCCGTGTATTCTTGTTGAGCTCGCAGTAGGCAGCTGTGGAACTGGAACTGACAAGAGGCAGCGGCTGTGGGCATGGACTGTACCCATGGAGATCTGTGAAAGGAAAAGAAACAGCGGAAATAGCAAGATCTTTGAAACCGATCTACATGAGCTGAGGACACAGGCAGCTTCACAAGGTCTGGCTTAAGAAAATAAGAACTAGCTGCCCCAAAGTCTTAACTCATCCTGAATTTATCAGCATTGTCTATTACATTTTGCCTTCCAAAATTTCAAACTGTTCCACCTTTTCAAGTTAAGGCTTAGTCAGATATTCCTTCCTGCAGCCATCTTTTATGATGGCGCTTTGGAGGAAAGAAGCAGCAGAATCAGGTTTAGATTAACAGAGAAAATGATTTATTACAAAATGAAGGACAAAGTCTTTCTAGTCTCATTGCCCTATAACTCTCTCCAGACCCAGGGCAGACACCCACCTATGCAGTGCAATTTTTGCAGGTGCTTCAGATCCTGCGCGACCACTATCAGGGGCAGAAAATGTATCTCACAGAACCCTATTGGTGGCTCCTCGTGGCGAATGTGTCCTGTTGAGCGCTGGCTCCGCCCCTTGCCACGTCCTGGTCTGCGCTTCAGCTGGTTCTCACAGTGATTTCTCTGTACAGGAGTCAGGCATTCATAGCTCCCTGCACGGAAGAAAATAAGCTCCTTTGATATAAAGCACTCAGAAGAACTACACAGGTATTTTTCTGCAAAGGTCTGTTTAGTGACCTAAATGCATCGATCATCGGTGGGTTTCCAGGTTCAGTTCAAAAATGTTGGTTTTGATCTTTAAAGCCCAGGATAGCTTGACCTCTATATACCTTCTGACCTGCCTTTTCCATCTGGATATGTCCCATTCTATGTGTTCTTCCTGAGAGATCAATGCTGAGGATCCCCACGTTAAATGTCGTGAAGGGAAGAACCGAGAGGCTTCCTCTGAGGGACAACTTTGAAACCAGCTTTGGAACCATTTTCTTTTGAGGTTCACACTTTTTTGGCCTTTCACGAATTACTCGAAATACCACTTTCTTCTGTCAGGGTTTTGGTGCTCGTACCCTTTGATTAAATTCGTAGGATTGACCTTTGATTTTCAACTTTTTTACTGTTAGTATGTTGGGGTTAATATTACTTTTAGTGTTATTGTAAATTGCCTTCAGTCTCTGGAGTGGGATGGTGTACAAGTAGCTTATAAATATAAAATAAATACTACAGCACTATTGGCTACTAGCGCCAGAAGAATGTTTTGAGGTTGATGTCAGCTTATGCCAAGCAACCTCTGCTCTTTTCTCTAGAAACATTCAATGAGCAAAAGTGAAATCACAATTGAGTTTGGTGCTATTGTTCCTCAGCTGCGCCGAGCGAAATTAACAGAGCTGTCCTAGGCATGTTTCTTTATAAATCCTACTGAATTCAGTGGGACTTGAATTTCTGGATCTATCCGTACAGTAGTATATGTTGAGTTGCTCATAATATTAGGTCAACCATTGCTAGCATGTAACTGAAATACAGAAATCAAGCACATAACAATAAGCAGATTCTTCCTTTGATCAAAGCAGCTGTCGCTAAACAACAATAAATGAATTTTAACCATTATCAATGCAGGCAGTTATGATCGTAACAATTAATTAGATGAATGGTACATTTTCAATCTGGGTTGACTGTTTCATAATGCCTTGCATCTTATTATTACTGAAGATAATCTCCCGAGTCTGACAGGAGATTTCTCTGAGTTCTACTGGTAGCTAAGGCAGGACTTTCCTGCCAGTTAGAAAGAGCAACACATCATAATCATTTATGATTATGCTTTCTTAACTTTTGACATTCTTGTGGGGAAAAGTTTGGCCATGCCAATCTTTTCTCCCTTGTCTGTCTGTCTGTCTATCTATATCAGTGATGGCGAACCTTTCAGAGACCGAGTGCCCAAACTGCAACCCAAAACCTACTTATTTATTGCCGGGTGCCAGATAGGTGTGGCCCACTGGGTGGGCATGGCTATCATGGCAGACTGGGTGGGTGTGGCCAAGGTGGGCGTGATCACCTTGATGTTGCTCATGGGGAGGGACGCCTGTGGGGGCAGGGCAGGGTTGGGGGAGATCCAGGGGGTCTCTTCCAGGTGGAGTGGTGGGCAGGAGGCTCATCCTGCGGAATGAGGCGAGGGAAAGTGAGGCAGGGCAGCGGTGCCATTGTCACAAGGCAAGGCAGGGGCCGGGGCGGCTGCTGCCTGACACCATCAGCTCCCGCACACAGAGGCCAGCGAGCGCATGGGTGCTGGGATGCATCTGGCCACATGGGACCTTGGCAAATTAGTGGGCGGCTGGTTGAAGAGAGACGGCTGCCACAGAGAGGGCTCTGAGTGCCGCCTCTGGCACGCGTGCCTTAGGTTCACCATCACTGATCTATATCATCTATTTTTATCAGCTATTTTTGGATCAGTCTTGATTCTTAGCAATCACCTAGACTAGTTCCTGCAGTGTTTTGGGTATGATTTTCAGAAGTGGTTTGCCATTACCTCCTTCCTAGGGCTGAAAGAAAATGGCTACTAGACCAAGGTCATCCAGCTAGTTTCGTGCTTAGCATGGGACTAGAATTCACCATCTCCCACTTTCTAGCCCAGTGCCTGCTATACTAACTATCATATACTGAACTGGCTCTTTTTGTTATATTATCCTAATTGTTCTCCCTTAGCGAGAAACAATATGATTTTAGATACAGAATGGGGGTTTTTTAGGATTTGTAATCTTACAATAAATGGCAATGGGGGCATCTGCCGCCAAGTTAAAAAAGTTAAGATAGGGGCCACAACTGTGTGATCAAAGCCTCGCTCCTTTCTTTACAATGCACTTTTTAAAAAGTTGGGCTTCAGTTGTATGGTCATGAATGACATCTTGACTATATGACTATTATTGCTTTCCCTGCAGATGCCTCATTTGATGAAAGAAGTGTATACTATGGATCTTTATTTTAACTGACTTTGCAAATTCTAATCTAGACTTATATAGCATAAACACAAAACTGTTAATACAATTTGAAGATTTTTTTTACACTGCTTGAAAGTTCCATTTTAAGGGTCTGATTTCAACCATCTATAAGTAATACCTCTTATTTTAAGAAATATCTAATTTGATAATCCTTCTGGAAAAAAGATATTTTCCTTTTCAATAGCAGACTCACATTAAAATTTTCTGTAATCTGGACACTCCTTTAAAACAATTTCAACAAAGTAAGCTTTCTGTCCATGTGAATGAGAGGCATTTAAATACTGAGCCCTGAATACCAGCACCCACGAATCCTAAATTATTTGCCAATCTAGTAAAGGAAATTATTTTATAATCCCAATTAGCACTTTTGTCTATGCCAGACCTCCACCCCACTCCACCCACAAATCAGTAGAGAATATTATTAATCAAATTTAGGGAATCATTAAAAAACAAACCCTTGGAATACTGTGTACAGTGACTGCATCAGAAAAGAATATTTTACTGCAATTTTGGTTGCAAGAATGGATATATAAAATTATGAGGGAATCAGATCAATTTCTTTGTAAGGGAAACCTACAGTCTGTGGTGTTTTCACCCTTTCAAAAAATTAAATCTCTGGAAGAACATGGCAGAGTGTTTATAATTATTCAAAACATGATTTTGCCACTATTTCATAATTTATTCCCTAGAGATTCAGATGACAAAAGGTCTTCTTGCACTATTCAATTGTAGAGCACCCAGCTTCTAGGCAGAAAAATATATGACAGCATAAACTAAGTCAAATCCATGAAGGACATAAAACTTACTGGTAATTGCAAGTCATGATGATTATATTTTCTCCAATCTAGGAATATTATGTCTTGAAACCCCAATTTTCAAGCGGAAGTGGCTATTGCATTCACATTCTGTTAGGTGATTTTCCAGAGGATGCTAAAACTAGGTAGTTCCATTACGTGAACCAGCAAATGGAATTGGTCATATTCGGAGCCACTAAACGCAACAATCTTGTCTCTTGTATTTTTCTAATGCCATCTAGGAAAGCATCATGGAATATCTAGCAAGATCATCTGGAGGCAGATAAAAGCAAGTGGTGTATCAACTATCCAGAAAAAACTAATCTGGGGATAGGTCAAAGAGCATAACCTAAAAGCAGGGGTTCTCAACTTCGGCAACTTTAAGACTTATGGACTTCAATTCCCAGAATTCCTCAGCCAGCAAAGCTGGCTGAGGAATTCTGGGAGTTGAAGTCCACAAGTCTTAAAGTTGCCAAGGTTGAGAACCCCTGAAAGGGAATGAAAAGCTGGGCACAAAATCTAAACTCTACTTGTCCTCAAACATGACAAATCCTGATAGAAGAACGACTATAGCACATTGGTTTCTAAATTGCTACATTCTAATGGCTATAAATGAGAGCCAGTTTGGCGTAGCAGTTAAGGTATCAGGCTAGAGACTTATGAGTTCAAATCTTGCCTAAGGCACCAAGCCAGCTGGGTGACCTTGGGCCAATCCCTCTCAGCCCAAGGAAAAAAGGCACTGGGGCAAATCCCTTCTGAAATCTTGCCAAGAAAGCTGCAGGGACCTGTCCAGGCAGTCACTAGGAGTCAACACTGCCTCCAAGGCATAGACAAAAAAAATATGGTAACAGTGATGCTAATGATAGGTAAGGTTCCCTTCTCGGAAAAAAAAAAATACAGCTCAAAATGGCAAGAGGCAGAATATAATTATTTTCACGCGTGGCCTGAACTTAGATATTCCAAGTCTAATTTGGACTCCGCCCAGGATGCCCCGGGAGAAGGGACAGCTCGGTCCGCCGCTTCCATTCTTTTCATTTCACTCACCCAGGTAGAGGTGGTTGCGGCTGCGGCACCGACGCGGACTGACGTTGAAGTCGACGTAGAAGAGCAAGAGCGGGTGGCCGAAGTTGGTGCCCGGGCTGGGGTCCAGAACCAGGACGGCGTCTTGCCCGGCAGGTGCGAGGGCTCCTCGCTGTGGGCTGCCGCTCTGGTTCCGGCTGGAGACCAGCGGCGCGCTAGGCTTGTCTCCCCAGCCGTCGGGCAGGAGCGCCCGCACTTTCTGGCCCGGCCGGGCAGGCTGGGAGATGTACACGGCAGGGCCCGGCCCTTGCGAGAGCCGCACCAAGCGCTGACACTGAGGCCGCGGCAAGAGCCCGCCGCGTTCAGGGCACTGAGTCGCCGCCACGTGTCTGAGCGCCGCCGCCGCCCAGCGCGCCACTCGCGCCTCGGAGAAGCGGCTCTCCGACGGGGCGGCGCGGTAGGGCCAGGCCAGGGCGGCGGCAGCCAAGGTCAACAGTAGCGGTGCCATGGGGGAACTGGAGCCCTCGCGCAGCCGGGCAGACTGTGCCTGGCCAGCAGGACTCCGAGTCCCCGCCCTGCCCCGGAGAAGGAGAAGGGGCGGACGGGCGCGCCTGTGGCGAGGCTCTCTTGAGTTGATGGTTCTTAGGCTGCCCGCGAGGAGCTATCCGCCACCGTCTCCTCGGGCCGTCTCTTCGACCGCACGGGCGGTTTTTTGCTAGCTGGAGCTGGGGCCCTGCGCAGTTTTGCTCCTCACGGGGCGTCTTAGAAGATCCAGGGCAGCCCAGTCCCTCTAGAGAAGGCAGGCGTGGCGGGTCGACGGGGAGAAGAAAGCGAAGCAAGCCGCGGCTTAGCAGAAGACTGAACTCCTGCTCGGGAGAGCCAAAGTGGAACCCTACCCAGATCAAACACTAACACGGCTTCCAATCATGCGCAGACTGCTTTTTTCATCACCACGCTGCCCCCCTGTAGGGCACACAGACGGCTCGACAAACACAAATATTCGCCGGAAAGGTTTCTAGGCAGCCAAGTGTCCATCTCAGCGCTCGGGTCCTTTATGCATTTGTCAGGAAATCAGTCTATTATTACTTCTGAGTAGATGGACCGAAGAAAGTTACGATCCTATGTTCCTGTCAGTTAACAAGTTAACCACCATTTGCCTCTTAGCGTGGTTTTAATGTTCCCTTGTAAGCAATGCATTCCAGATCGTGGAAATCGTTTTTAGGGACCCATAACTTTAGTGGATGATAAAGTCTCGTTTCTTTCCTTGCAGACTGCATCAGCATCAAACGCCTTGGACACCGGTCATAAGATGCTAGACCTATCTTTCTCCCAGCTCGTTTTTAAAAAGTTTACCTTCGAATTCCAGAAAACCCTTTTTTCCTGCTTGATGAGTCTCCCCCCACACACATATACACCCCAAGCAAAGACTATTAGCTAGAGAGATCTGGGAGAACAATTGCAAGCATGTCTTTGTCCTCGTGGTAAGATGTCACATCAACATAGCCAGTGTTCAGAACACTATTTCTTGCTTCGCTTTGATTATTTTGTACCTTGGAGGTTTTAGCGTCATTTGGTGAGATCATAACCCGCCGAGAACCCTTGAGTGCGAAGGGAAGCAATAACATGAATCAATACATAACAAAGTAGACCTGGTGGAAAATCCACTTGGGAAGCGAGTGGAATAAGATTACACCAACCCTGTTAATGGAAGCCGGAGCTGGCGAGTAGAAATGGTGGGTTTGTTTCCCTGAGGAAACGGGAAGCCCCGTCTAATCATATTTTCAGTTACTGTAAGCTGAAGGGGAACCTCAGTGAGGAATTGTTACGAGAACTGCAGCCAGGAAAGATTTCTGGTTCCTTTGGGAACTACTGTTGTGTGGACAACAATGTCTTTCTTGGGAAGAAGAGAGGTGGGTGTGAGTTCCTACTGAGGCCCCACGCTTTTGCTACAGAAAGTTAAATTGCAAGTTGGACAAAGCACCAAAAGCGCCCTCCTCAGGGACTGAAGTGAGGGAGAGAAGGCCGTTGTGTCCCACCTCGAATGATAACTTTTCTGTGCATTTTTTTTTCTTCCTCAGCATCTGGTTAGCGTCTTCTTGCGGTTTCAGCCTATCTACGGGAGAAGGTGGAGCCTAATAAAGCCTTCACTTTCCCCGTGCACCCCTTCCAGATGTGTTTTGCATACCACCCATCCTAATCTCCAAAAGAGACAATTTTGGAGACAGAATCTATGCCATCCTGCTTGGCAATTTTAGGGAACTGCATGGGCATGTTGATGCTGCTATTTTGGCAATAGTTCAAAACTGGTTTGCCATGGCTGACTTCCAGAATCTGTCTGACTTCCCAATCTAGCCAATAGTTGTAGGATCTCCTAATGGTCTCTCATTCAATTATTAAACAAATTAAGTTTCATAAGATCAGTTGAGGTGGGCTGGGTGTTTGTTTCTTTCTTGCCTGCCACTAAAGTTGGGTCTGACATGATTGAAATATTCACTGCATATACAATTGATTAATGTGGTTGGTATGATTAAAAAGTGGAGACAGAGATTAACAATTAACTGCCAATTGATAATCACAGCCCTAACCCATTTGCGTGTGTGAGAGAGAGAAACAGATGAAATAAGCAGACATAATCCAGTGGTGGGCAAAAACTTTTAATGGGCTAAAAAGGAACAAAAGCGCTGGCTCAGCGGTTCTCAACCTATGGGTCGTGACCCCATTTGGGGTCGAACAACCATTTTACGGGGGTCGCCAAACAACGCGATCCGCCATTTTTCCCCCTCAGGGGGCACCATGGCGCGTCCGTGTGACGGGGGTTGCCATCACACAAAGGTTGAGAACCGCTGCGCTGGCTGGATGCAGCCACTTTGCCTACTGAAATCTTAAATTATGGTAGATTGAGTGAAGACAAAAAAGAAGAAAAGCAAAAAAAAAAAAAAGAAAAAAGGAAAAAAAAAGACGTCCCTTGGGATAAGCTTGTCCACACTATTCCTTTCAGGTGACAGCTCTGGCACAGAAAATCAGATGGGTGATGGCTGTACTGCAGCACCTGCACCAGCTTCCCTGATTGGCCTGCTGATATGCTCGTTCCTCATTGCTACCATGGAAATAGTGCATCGGCCAGCCAGTCAGCAAGATAGTGGGGTGGGACGATGCCTATAAAGGGGCCTTTGGAAATAGGGGCAGGCAACATTCAGCCTGAGTAGAGCAGCTCTGGCGTGAGGGATAGGGGGGAGATTTCTTCAAAAGGCAATCAAAAGGTTGGCTGGCATTTCCTTACCAGGCCGCAGATTGAGAGTGATGGAAATGGAAGCCCCAGAGTGCTGCTGAGGCTGGTTTCAAAGTGTCTTTAACCACTGCTCTGTACAGTTAGGCTCTAAGAAGTTATTTTGTCCTTTCACAACTAAGGATCACAATGGCTCCCCTACCTCTCCTTTAATGATTAACATCCTTGGTGCTCCAAGACACATTAAGGAGTGTGGTCCACCTAAAATTGTCTTCAAGTTTTGCAGTGGACTTTATGTTAGTAACCAGGATTTATTTGTATTCTTTCATTGCCACCTTGGCATAGAATAGTTCCAGGCTTGGCCTCATCTTGGCCTGAGTCTTTAAAAAGCCTATGCTGCAAAAAAGTAGTTTTCCAGAATGTTCCAGTTTGTGGTACCCATTATTAAAATAGCTTTGGCTTATTAGGTGAACTTCAATTACTGGCAGTTATGCATGTTATAGTGCATTATGTGCCTGGCACCATTATCTGAGTAATTATTAGTCCTATGATTCGGTAAATACAAAATTCCCATATAGCAAATAAAAAAGAAAAAGGTTTTCTGCCTGTAACTACTAAGATTAGAATGGAGAACTTTAAATACAGAGCTAATTTGCTCTTCTCCAGCCTTGCTGCTCAGATGTGTAGACTTCATTTCCAACAATTTTCAGCAATGATCATGCTGGTTAAGGAATTCTGGGAGTTCATCTGCACGTCTGGAGATGTTGAAAGAAGGCTAAAACTATTTGTACCAGATGATCACTAAAACAATTCTGTGGAACCTCCGGGTGAATTTTCTCAAACATTGCTCAAAAAAAAAAAAAAAAAAAAAAATCACCTTAACAATGATCATTGTTAATACATTTCAAATCTGTCGTTATTTATGATTATCTCATTCTTGCCTCAAGTAGTTAGTCTGTAATAAAGTCATCCTCATGCAGCATTTAGAGTAAATTTGGGGGTCTTTTTTTATCCACCAATATCTTTTGCATCTCAATCAATTAAGCTGGCTTATTTTGGCTGTCTTGTGCTCTTCCTCCTAAATGTGCTAAGAGTTAGGAATTGACAATTACCTCTGAAAATTAATTGCTGTAATCACAAGAAGAATATTGCGCTAACTGAATTATCTCCATGGCAGGCACAAGCTTTTTGACATGAGATTTTAACACTAATGGTGAGCAAAAAAAAAAGAACAAGAAACCAAAGTGGCAATACAATCAAATTGTGTAACACACTAACAGATAAATGCAGAATTAGTTCCTATTCCATATCTGAAAGATCCAATTTAGTATGAGCCTGACATTCAAAATGTGGTTTCTGTCATTACTAAAAACATGAAAGAACAAAAGGCTTAAAATGTAGCCTGCGGATTGGCAAAACTAAATAGCAGCTTGCTTTATTGAAAACAGTGAGTAAAGAGCAGTGATGGGGAGTCTGTGGTTTTTCAGATGTTGAACACAACTACTAGCAGCCTATGCTAGCATGGCAAATGCTGAAGAGTGTTAGAAGCTGCAATTCAGCAGAATTTGCAAACCCACATGGGCTGTCTTTGAAAGGCACTGCTAGAAAACAAGAAAGGTGTACATCTTACAGGCTACATCAACCAAGAGTGCATGGTTTTTGCACAGAACAGTATCAGGGAATGCTGCATTGTTAATAATGAAGATCTAAATTTCTTCTTTGGACATTTGCCATTTAAGTAAACCCACCAAATATGGCTCAGTTCATTAGACAGATAGATATGCACACTTTTAATTACCAAGCATACTATAGGCACAAATAAAATGACTGTATAAAGTTTTCAAGTACCAGGGCAGGCACACATGGTTGAAATTTGGGACCCAGAAGCTAAATGCAGCCCACCAGCTCTTCAACCTGCCTACCAAGCAACCTAGATACACACATTTGAATATTTTTTCCTTTGGCTTACATGGCTGCTGGGCTGTACTCGGTTCCATTGTCTATTTTTGATTCAAGCATCCTTAGCCATGTTGCATTCAACAGCTGGTCAGGAAGCAGGAATAGGAATATTTTATTGAGTGGACCAGGAAATATTCACATGGAGCCTACATTATAAGTAAGTAAGCAAGCCATTTAAAAGTATTTTAAGTAAAGATTCATTTGAATGGATTTTTAAAAGTACAATTTAAAACTCTGTTTAAAGCGGCCCAATGTCTAGAACATAAATAAGATCTTGTCCATACCCATGCATATTTATTGAAAAGTAAACTCCATATTGCACAATACAAGCTTTCTAAATCGGTATACACAAAGCTGAAGCTTTCTTCTTTCAGTAAGAAATCTAACTTCACATCTCTCTCTGTGCATGTATATATACGCACATGGAGAAATTTGATTCTTGCTCCATTTTGCAATTGCAAAATGTGGACTGATTCCAGTACAAAAAGTCTTTATAGGTTTTTAAGTTGCACAAAGGCTTCTTTTACTTGCAAACTAAAATATTGTATTTATTCTAGTGCATCATTTGTACTCATGCTTATAAAGGAGCTGTATGAATTTCAAATCAGGAAGCCAGATCAGATCATTTGATAACTTAAATTAGCCTTGCATTAAGTAATTCTGAAAATATGCTGCATTTAAAAAAACCTTTTTACTCTAGTACCTGGGCTAGAATAGTTTCTTAAATGAAGCAAATGCCGTCCATTTTATGTGATAAGGAATTGGCCTACCCTATCAGATATTGCAGTTCATCAATTCCCAGTACAGACGGTTTCAGAACAAATCAAAATAATTATTCCCCTGACATGCCTAAAATACATGCCCCAAAAGAACATTTGTTGTATCCACTGGTATCTAACAAATA